GATGCTATTTCTTAATTAAAACGTAATCATTATTTTCATGATATATATCAATTTTATTATGTTTGTAAAAAAAAAAAAAAAATTGAAAACTTCACAAATTTGTGGAAAAATTTTGTTTTCAAATTAATCTTGAGTTAAACCAAAATGTTGATGAGCCGCTAAGTTTAGCACCACATAATAAAAGAAATCATATCTCAAAAAGGGAAAGTTGTTTTGATGTAATATTTTATTAACTCAAAAAAGAAATAATTTTTAGATGTTTTTATAAAGGCAGGACCTCAGGCCCCAAAATTCGGGAATCTCAATTACAAAGTAGAAAAGAATTCAAACGGCAACCCATTAAATACATATTTGTCAATGAATCACCAAAACATTTCCTCAAAAATGTTAACACTCAAGATGGCAGTCGTAAAAAAGAAATGTCATATGGCTAAAATTAAGGACCTTTGGCCAATTTTTACCATAATCAAGGACCAAAAATCATTTCCAAAAAATCCTAATGGCTTGTAAGGACCCTATGTTGTAATTATGTGATGCAAGCAGTCTTGTCATAGCTCTGGCATATTAAGAAATTTTTCAATGCTAATACAGTCCGTATCAAAATGCTGAGATAGGTACACTGTGGGAGGAAAAAAGTTCTATATATCCCCTTCTACATACCAGTGCTGAAATCTAACTTGCATTTTTCATTCCTTGAAAACGTGACTTACGATATACAGTCAAAAGTCGTTAATCCGGACCTCAAAGGTACAAACTTTCTGCGCATGCGTTCACGCATGCGCATAAGCGTTTACGTATGAATGTAATAATTTTACGCATGTGCATAATACGTTTACGCATGCGCGTTTAATGTATAATGGACGCTATAAGCTAAGCTAAAATTATTTCAGTTAATGTTGCAGATTGCGTTGTTCCTTAATCTTCGAATTGGATCCGGCTTATTTTTTGCAGACTGTTAGAGCAATTTATAAAAGTAAGCTTGAACTTTCGATTATGTCAAATAGAATTACAATATATATTTACTAATATGTAAAGGATCTACAAAGAGAAAGTATGATTCGATGTCCATCAAACAAAAAGTGGAATTGCTGTAAAAAAATGGATAAAAACATATCCTTTGTTTCTCTAACCATTCCGAAATCTTGTAAGGATTACGTTAATTTTATTAACAGTTAAATTTTAAGTTAAAGTTTCTTTCCTGTCAAATTCTTAACTTCAACTTACTACTTCCCGCCAGAACGTAGTTTTGGAATTTGCTGAATATTTAATGAGAAGGAGCGGTATTTAAACCACGAAGTTACTTACTGAGTCAGAGAGAATCAGAGTTTCTGATTTATGCGCGTCTGCCTTTTTGGCCACTCTCCCTCTCAAAGCTGTTATTACGCACGGCCGTATTCAGGCCCTTTGCTAAGCTTCGTAGTCAATTAAGTTAAGGGGCCAGCTCAATCTGAGCCTTGATAGCTTCGGCTATACTTCTTTTAGTTAATCTTAGTTTTAGTTTAATTCTTAGTCTTTTAAGTTCAAGTAAAAGTGCGGGCTTTGCTTGTACACTCCCAGGCGGAGTTTTGTTAAATCTTATTGAAATAATAAAGGGTTAGTTACCCTTCTATCTTGTTGTTTCTTGTCACCGAACTCTAGCGATTATTCGCTTATCAGCTCTTAGATTCCTCACTTCCAACATTAACTTAGAATTCCAAAGTGAGAAACTCTACAATCTGTTTATCAATTTCACGCTGCTCTCTCCGGGGGGGGGGACATCGCGGCGCGCAATGAACTAGAAGTTGATCTGTCAGCACTATCCTTATCTTCAGGGCAGATGTTTTTATTTTATTCAGCTTATAATTCCTTACTAAATGTAGTATTTCATCTCGATGTATTCCGTCTTTGATATGATTTAAATCAAATTCCTTATCATTATAAATATCACGAGTACACATCAAATAGTTTTCTGGTTGCAATTTTCTAATTTCGACTATGCGTAATGTGTGCTTTATGCACGCGCGCGTTGAAAGTAATGTTTAATAAAGTAAACAAATAAATATTAAGCTTTTCCTTTTAAAAATTTTGATACCCTTTAGATCATAATTGCTCTTTATTTCATAAATGACGGTTTCATATTTTTAATTTTATAATTTCTGCATGCCATCTTACCAGATTTAAACTGATGATCTATAATCCGGAAGAATCGATAATCCGGAATCGCCGAAGTCCCGACGAGTCCGGATTAAAGACTTTTGACTGTATATTAGATTTATATATAGCATTGCTCTAACAGGTATTCTGACACAAAATCAGAATTTTTTCCTGCAATGACACACCTACTTTTTTCTATATTTCAATTCTAGAACTCAAATTATGCCAAAGTGCCAAATTTTGTAAAAATTGTGCAGTTTTGAAAAAAGTTGCTTTAAGAATTTCAGCTCCTCGATGTTAATTAATTTTGTGTATATTTATTAATATCTCTTTTTTTATTTACACTCACTTGATTCCTTCTTTCACAATTTAAAATTTAGATTCAATCCAAATAAAATTTGCAGCTATTTGCTTATTTGTTCTTAAAATCAATACTTTTTAGTGATTTTTATAAAATTTTAATAATAACCTATAAAATTTTTACCACCACCTTAAAGTAGATGTATTTTTAGGCACACCTGCAAAAATTAGAGCTTTTTATTCAAAATTTTAAAAGATATATGTGAATTAATATATTGCGTATTTTGAAATTTGGCATATTTCTTATAAGCGATAATAATGCTAAAGGTGGTTTATGTACCTTGTTAAAATTATTTGAAAGATTGAAGGATGCAACATTTTTTCTGCTTGTGCATAGTGAAAAAGTGAAAGGAAAATAGATTACTATAAATTAAGAATTTTATAAAGTGAATTATTCTTAGTGCAATATGAAAAAACGTGTGCCAAGATAAATTTTAAAATTTCTCATTATATTTTATAAAAATTTTAGTATTTGGACATAATTTGAATTGTACAATCAAAATAAAAAAAAAAAAAAAAAAAAAAAAAAAAAAAAACAATAGGTATATCATTCCAGAAAAAGTACAATTTTGTGTCAGAATGCATAAATTAGAACAGTGTTATATATAAATCTAATATATATCTCCTAAGTTGCACTTTTGAGACATGAAAAACTTAGTTAAATTCTTAGTGAAAACTTAGATAAACTTAGTGAAAGTTCATTTTCATTGATCAGCTCAGTAGAATGGGAAGTATATAAAATTGTTCCAGTTTTTGATGCAGAGTGTACCCAAAGAAATAAAAATAATTTTCTGAAACACGTAGTAGTTTGAAGCAATGCGATATTAATACTGAACATCGTAAAGAACATCCATGGCAATTACAATTGTAAAAACAATTATGATATACACTGGTGTGCAAAAATTAAGGATGAAGTCGAAAAATTAGCATATCAGCTGAACGAAGAGGCAGAGCGGACAGAAAGACCAATCAGGAGATTAAGTAAGGTGATGTACGGTAGCACATGCGCAGATATGCAGGTAGACGTAATGGGGGAGTGTCTGAGTAGTATAAAGCATGTTGTCGGTGTAAGATCAGTATTTCTGGCAAAGAGATTGCATGCCATATAGCAGTTAAAATCACACCGAGTTGCTGCCTCAGCGAGAAATGGCGAATAATCAATCTGTTAGACGACATCTGGGTGCTTTTACCCGAGGTCGAATCATTGGGAAGTTGGAGGAAGGCCGCAGTGTGACAAGTGTGGCTGCAGAGTTCGGAATTGCTCACAGCATCGTTTCACGACTTTGGAGACAATTTCAAACTACAGGAACAGCTATCCGGGGGTTTAGTAGTGGTCGTCCACGAGAAACCACACCCGCAGATGACCGGTATATTGCCTTACAGGCCAGAAGAAACAGGCGGCAGACAGCGGGAGAAATCGCTAGACACACGACACAGGTGACTGGACGACCGATATCGCGTTTTACCGTGGCCAGAAGACTGCACGGTGGTGGTCTGTTTGCACGACGCCCCGTACGGTGTGTTCCTCTGCCTGCCCATCGGAGAAGGGGTTCTCTGTGGAATTGGAGAGACAATGAATGGGGACGAGTACTCTTGACAGATGAGAGCAGATTCAGTCTGAGTAGCGATTCTCATCGCATACTCATCTGGAGAGAGCGGGGAAGCCGCAATCATCCCTCGAACATCATTGAAAGGGACAGGTATGGAGGTGGCGGTGTTTTCGTTTGGGGAGGCATCATGCTTGGTAGTCGTACAGACCTTACATCTTCGACGCAGGTTCAGTCAACGGGACCTGTTATTGTAACGAGATTCTTCTTCCATATGTGCGTCTTTTTAGAGGCGCTATGGGTCCGCAGTTCTTTTTCATGGACGACAATGCACCATGTCATCGCACAGTAACTGCCGAACAGCTCTTAGAGAGTGAGGATATTGAATGTATGGATTGGCCGGCACAATCTCCGGATCTCAATCCCATCCAGCACGTATGGGATTTTCTAGGCAGACTCTTGGCAGCTCGTACCTTACCACCAGTAACGATTCCGGAGCTTCGATTGGGGCTGCAAGACGAATGGGCAGCAATGCCTCAACAACTCATTGACACCCTCATTCTCAGCATGGGCAGATGCTGTGAAACCTGCCTAGCAGTCAGGGGAGATCATATCCCCTATTAAGACCGGATGTTTCTTGCTGGACAACCCATCACAGGGATGTTTCGGTCTTTAGTCGCATTGCGCTCCATGCTACTTTTTCAATAAAGCTTCTTTTTATCCCTCTGATTTCTCTTTTAGTAAGTGTTGCTTACATTACTCATGTCCTTACGTATTGGGGATCTTACGGTATTAAATGTGTTGATTTGGAAAGCTTTTGTACAAAGTTATATTGAAAAAACCGTCTCGTCCTTAATTTTTGCACATCAGTGTAATATTTGAAAATATAAGATTGTAGATTTAGGTAGCTATTTTCATCAGAACACAATTCGTAAATGGAAACAATTTCAATAAAATTCCTTTTAGTATTAAAAAAAGGATTTAATATAATAAATTGTAATACAAAATATATATAGCAATCGCTTAAAATCAATTTTACTTATACATACATTCAATAATGAATATTCACTTCAGAGTTCTAGTAAAAGCAAATTGTGTTAGCTTGTTCACTGTTGTCTGGGAAAGCTTTTCTTCATTATTCTTAACTTTCTTTACTTTCTGTGTTTTATCATTTTCTGCATCATCAGAGTTTTCTTTCCTTTTCTTGGATACTACTTTTTCAGAATCTTTTAGAACTTCTGTCTGGTCTTTTGAAACTGCAGAATTGTTTATGTCTGGAACTTCACCATTCGTAGTTTTATTTGTGGATTCTTTATTAGCTGCTGAAGTATATTTCTAAATATGATAGAACATAGATTTTTAGCATGGAATGTAAAACCCTTGGCTTAAATAAATTTATGTCAGTTAAATAATATAATGTTGAATTTTATATGGGTGGTATCAGTTATTTAAATTTTTGTCATGAAAATTTCTGCTGCTTCTCTTATCTAATATAATAAAGAAATAGATAAACTTGCATATGAACAATATTTGTAGTAATTTTTGATCACATGTAATAAACCTGATGTTTTATCAAATAGCAAGCACATTAAAAAAAAAAAAATCTGATGTATACACCACATCACTTCCTTGTTTGGAATATTAAATCATATGCAAATTTTCCTGCATTTCATTTAAACATACTGAATTGAATGAGTTAACGAATTTTGAATTAAATCTACTTCGTCGATAGCGCATAAACCACAATATAGGGTTCGTACACATTTCTGCACATGGAAATTAAGTACTTTTAAGGACCATTAAAGAAAAAAATTAAGGACTTATAAGTAAATATGAACTGAATAAATTCAATTAAAATTATTATCTATCCCTGAACTTCACATTTGTAATACCATCCTAAAAATAAAATAGATAAGTAGGATGCATTATTATTAAACATAATAAGTTTGAGAATAAAATAAACTTTATGAAATTAACTAAGTAGCATTAAATATTTTACACTCATAATAGTTGGAAATATTTGAAAGAAGATAAGTGATATTTTATTTACGCTTTTACTTAACAGTTAGAATTGTTTTTTTGATTTTTTTTTAAATGTCTCATTTTGTCACATACTTGCTCAGTCCTAGAAGGTTTAGTAAATAGCAGGTAGATTTTATGTCAAGCAGCATAGGCTGAAAATGAGAAGTTAAGAATCATAATCAGCATGATTCATAACAAAAGACTGGATTTTGTCACCACTGCCTGTTTGCCTGCAGAGAGACCTGCTGATTGGAACAAACTTGAAAGGCCTGATGTAGGCACGGTTGGCAAGAGTTGAAAGTTAGTCAAGCTCTGTTTGATGCAGTTAGTGTCAAGTTCCAGGGGTTCTAACCCAGTTAATATACTTTAAGGTTCCAATAAGCCATTAAAGCACCAGAGGTGATAAGTTCTTTTATATTATTTTAAGTCTCACTAGGTGCAAAGAATAAGTTTTACTTGAATTTTTACATTTTTGTGTTTTATCTTGTAACCACAGTGAGTATTAATGAAAGGCAATAACTCGCTTTAATATGTAGAGATAATTTTTAAGGGTAAGCAGTTAGTTATAAATAATTAAAATAATTAAATTGGGTAGTTTGATAATCTAGTCATTATGGATTTACATGGCCACTATTAAATTTTATTTTAATATTTTTTTTAAAAAGTTCTATTAAAATCGAAATCTAATAAAATTTCACAGTTTAAAATACATGTAATTTATGACATTGATTCTTAAACGATATTAGGATAATTACAGATTAAGAGCTACAAAACATTTATGTTTTGTAACAACAACACTGAACAAAATATTTATGTGTCTTTTTAATTTGAAGCCTTCCCAGACATTTTGGCTAATTTATATCGATTTACTTCTCTTTAAGCATCTTTTCTAACAATCAGAAATTTGTCTCAATATGCAAACCTAGTGTTCTCACTAGTTTTTGGATGCTCTATCTCCTAACTTGTCAACCTCTCCACAATGTACCTATGAGGGTTTACTTGATCTGGTAAAAGTTAAATAGTCCCAAACCCCCTGAGAGACATGAAGCAAATTATGTCTGAAAGTAACTTCAATGTCAGACAAAGGTTTAAATAAGCCTCTTATTTAAAAAGAACTTAAACATAAAATGTTCTGATGCAAACAAAATTAATTACAGCTCATGGTGATATAATTAAACAATAACAGTCAAATTCAAACTAAAAATGCGGACTAGTGGTCATTCATTGTGTATAGAAAGAGATCATCATGGCGCATGTGGACATAGTGGTCAAAGACTATGCAATTTAATTTAAATTTAAGCTGGCTCAATAACTCTATCATATGAGGAAACAGAAATGGGAAATTATAGTAAAGACTGCAATCATAAATAACAGGATAATTTACATAATAACAACTGTACATATCTTTGAAGAATAATTTTCTTTATGTATTCAGTTTTCTTTCTTCAATAGTTTCTTCCTTTCCATTTTAGAATTTTCAGATATAAATAAGGCTTTCTGTTATTCTAAAAAATGCATTTAGAATGTACAGAAAAAGCTGATAATTTTATATCTTTAGTAATATGAACATTCAGACGAAGTATGAAATATATATGGTAAGGGTCGGTTACAGAGCTGGTGTGGCAAAATGTTTAGGATTTAGAGACACACTGAGCAACATAATCTAGAAATGGCAAAACTTTAGAATTTAGAGCAGGCATTGGAAGCAAAATTTAGAAAGGCACTAGGCAGCAGAATTTAGGATCCACAGTGATTGCATCCGGCAGGAAAATCCCTAGTTCTAGCTCTGTGTATGATGCATTAAAACATATCAGATGAATCTTTTAAATTGTAAGTTTTCAATTTTTTATTCCACACCTGTTCATGTGATAAATTAGAAGCATTTTTTTTTTTTATATTTTCCATGCTTGTGTCTAATGGAAAGTAGAGAAAATAAACGGACTATAAACATGTTAAGATAAAGATTCTAGTATTATAAGTAAAACAGTCAAATATTACGTTTTCATTTTTCTTCAGGACGTTCTCCAAAAAGTAAGAAATTCATCACAAACTTTCTGTAAAATACATATATTACATGCTGATACCATGGAGACATTTTCCATTTTGTCACATATTTCTTGAATCTTCTAGAATCGTGGTTCTATAAATCTAGCCTTCAAATCCTCCTAAACTTTCCAGGCTGCAATGTCTAAAGTCCCAAAGAAAAATTATCCCTACCAATTCTGTAACAGGAAAAACATAGAAATACTTTGAAAAAAAGGGAAAATGTGTAAAATTAATTTTATGGAGAAAACTGATGCATAATCTGAGAACTCTGAATATTCTGAGAAAATTACATGGAAAAAACACTTACTGTGAAAAAATTAGGAAGAAGATATTTTTAATTCATTACATAGCTAATGTTGCTTTTACTAAAAACTGTTTGGTAAATTGTACTTTATAGCATCATACCTTGTTTATTTTTCAGATTCAAAATATTGTATAATAAGTTGCCAAAATAGAACTTTATAACATGACAGAGAAAAATAAAAATGTTTTATTTTAATGTTATTTTTTAAATATAATTTCAATACATTACCGTTATTTTAATGATATTCATCCATGCTACAATATTTTAAAAAAATCGTCGAAAAATTTCCAGATCTCGGAATTAAAAATTTTCTATAGACACTGATTTTAAAATCGCCAAAATGTTGATAAGTCACCAAATTTAGAACCGTTTAAGAATTCACATCCCCAAAAGTGAAAAGTTGTTTAAGAGCTCTTCATTAGGAAAAATGAATTTCGAAATGGTTATTGTTTCACTTCTTGCTTAGAAACTTGAGTATACCACCGTTTATATTAGAAATAGAAACAAATTATTACCTACTTAAAAGCTAACTATATATGTCAGTGAATCACCAAAAAATGTTCCTTCAAAATACTAATTCACATTCAAAATAGCAGTCGTAAAAACAGACAGAAATTTCAGATGATTAAAATTAAGGAACTTCTGCCGATTTTGGCCAAAATAATCAGAATTCCAAAAAACTTAAGGACCATACAAACCCTGATTACAGAATATTTCACTAAATTGTTAAATGATAAAAATGTTTTCCTACACCTGAAAAAGGTTCCCACTGTTTAAAATACACATTTACACTATTTCTAATAACTTACTTGCTTATCAGAAGCAGGAAGCTCCTTATAAAGCTTCATGGCGGTTCGAACAATTTCAGCTTCGCTGAGTTCTGATTCAGCTGAGGTTCTTATTTTTTCTCGATTTTCATCTAAGAACAACTGGAAACCAACTTTTGGTTTTACAGATTCTTGATGTTGAGTCTTTTCTTTCTTATGGTCACTAAACCTAGATTTCTTTGATGGCTGTATGGATAAATTTAATATAAATTACATACACGCAAATATATATATATATATATAGAGAGAGAGAGAGAAGATCAAAGTAAATTTAAAACATGATAAAATAAAAGTAAAAATAAATTTATGTAGTACAGTGTGGATAAACTTAGTAATGCACCATTTATTGGCGTAAAACAAAATGAAATACAATATTAACTGATTAAAAATGGGTTGAATTTTCACAAAAAATTCTACAGATGTCTATAGTAGATTAAGACAGCTCAGATCAAATAAAATTTAGGAAAAAAAAAAAAAAAAAAATGCTTAAGTGGTGGGGAAATGGAATTTGCACAATTTAAGTAATAAAAATTAAACCAATTCCATTTATTGCAGGGAAACATTTTTCTTAGCAAAGGCTTCAGGTGCTTCATTTTTATGCTAATATTTTCTCTTTAATTCTAAAAAAATAAATAAAGCAAATTAAAGATATTCTTCTTAAAATTCTCTATAGACAGACATAACTTCTTGTTCAGTCACAAAGTTCCATTGCTTACATCTTATAATTGCCATGTCAAGAATTTTCACTAAATTGTATGTCAAAATTTTTTTGTTCTCATCAACCATCATTTTCTTCACTATCAGTAGTGATATTTTCTGGGTTTAGAACTATACTAAAAGGTTTCGGCTGTTCTATTAGTTGATTGATGACTGGGGTACTGTCATGACAATGATAAAGTTCTATTATATCATTTGCATTTATTACCACTTCTCCACATTCCATTAAATGGAAAATTTCACCTTTTGTTTGCAATATTCAAAATCTTCAAATTTATGGATATTAGCATAAAGCTTAGCTAGCATGTGCTATACACTATTGGCAACATATGATGAGATTGGCAGTCACATAATAAAATCACTCAATTTTCTCTTTTTCCTATTGTATGCTGAGGAAGTTAGGCGAAAATTACATAGTTATTTATTACACTTATTATTTATCTATTTCTCATATATGCTTTAAGTTTATTTGAGTCCTGCATACATTTATGGTTTATTTGAATTATAAATCAGTTATTAATTCAAACAGCAAAAAAATGTAATCTTTTGACAATTGGCAATCATTTACAAAACTTATTTTTTCCACACGGAAAAAAATTTCAGTTAAATTTCTCCTCACTTAACACTCTGCAACCCAGTTATCACAGGTCTGCAATAATCAGCAAGCATAATGTCAACATAAAAAGTTACCACACTATTTAGTATTCAATTACTACTATTTAAAAAAAAAAAAAAAAAAAAAAAAAATTTAGACTTCATTATACGAATCAATTTTCAAGCTGCCATTCAATGCTAGTTATGTAGTGTTGAAAGCAAAAAATAATAAATAATATTTCACTAAGTTGGCATCAGGGATGTAAATTATTCAGCAGATGTAAAATGATGTTTTGATATAGAATGTTTCAGTTTGAGATGGATAGCAAGCAAAACGATGTAGCTACAAAGTTAAAATATCAAATGCACACACATAAAGCATACAAAAAAAGGGGGACATAAAATTTTTGCTGGCTGTACGGAAGTCTGGATTTCAGATCATTCCAGATATTGGATGACATTTTTGGACCTCACACTGAATTGATTTTTGGTTTAAATGTATGTATACAATATTATGCTGCCTTCTTTTAGAAAAAATCCCAAATGATAAATAGTAAAGTTATCAAACTTTTGCCAAAAGTAAGTCATAGGAATACTAAAAAATGACTCAACTTAAAACAGCCAATGCGAACTAAAGGAATCTTCCATTGAGAACTAATGCTACACCTCCTATTAGACACTGGTATTTTTACATGAGTTTTAAATTAAAAAGATGCACAAAATATGATTGGAAAATTTCTCATAATTTCTTCCAAAGAAATTTTATAGATTTATTTATAAGCTGTGCCCAAATGAAAAGGGCACAACAATTATATGTAAAGAAATTTTAATAATGATATTACAATTGCAGTTCATGTGGCACAGTAAAATTATAAATAATTGCCATTGACCTTGGAACACTGATCTCAGTACATAAAAAATAAGTAGATAGCTTCAGTGTAAAAATTCCTGTTTTGCTGATGGATCCCCTTTACAGCATCTTGCACTTCCTTGTAACAGGTCAGCTTCTAACTTTTCAGATATTTTCTTTAAGGGGGTAAAGATATGCAGTCACATGGGGAGGTAATGAGGTTGTAAGGATGATGTTGCAGGACCTTCCATCGAAATTTTCCCAGGAGCTTGAGATTCGTCATGGCCACATGTAGCTTAGCATTGTCCCGGAGAAGCACTATCCCAATCAGGAGCTTGGTCCTGCATTTGTTCTTGATGGTCTGTTTGAGCTTCAGCAACATGATGAAATAATGCTCAAGCATTAACTGTTGCACCTCATTGTAGCCAGTCAATGAGTAGAGGTCCTTCTTCATTGAAAAAGAAACTTGGCATCACTTTTTTGGCCTTCTGGGTAGAGTGGGCTTTGTTGGGATGAGGGTAGTCGAGATGCCACTACTCCATGCTCCCTCGTTTAGAGGCAGGGTCTAAATGGTGACACAATTTCATTACATGCAACAATCTTGCAACGAAATCCACTCCTTGCTCCACGAATTTCAACAAATAGGTAAGGCAAACACCCATTTTTGTCATATTCCGATTCTCTGATAGATGCTTGGGCATCAGTTGTTCATAAACTTTGCTATAACAAAGTTGCGCAGGGTGTAGCAAGTCCTTGATGTTTATGTGCCCTATTTCATAATGCTGACACCTCCAAAATATGGTCTACCATGCGAGATACTGCTCTCCATATGTCTCTTTCACCCTGCAATAAATTTTACTCTTTGTAGTGATCTGGAAGAATCCATCGTACAATGAAATGCCAAAAAACTCACAAAAATGAGGATAGTGATGTGAAGCTGTTAACTAAACATGTGCATTTGAGAATACAACCATACCATCTATCGGCTAACACATTAACTCAGTAAGATTAGATACAACACCGCTACAGCTAAGGAGTCCTTTTCATTTGGGCACACCTTATAGTTTATAATATAATTATGGTAAACTGTTTATGAAATAATTGGAAAAGAATTCAAATATAAGAATTTGAAATGTAAAGTCTTCCATTTGCTGTTAAAGACACTAAACATTTAAAGGTCGTTTTGTATTTCTGTTTAATAAATACAATAAATATTACTTTTTCGTCCTTTGGTGTATGAGAGTTTGCTTTAGCTGCCAAGGTTTTCATGCTGTTTTGAAAAATGTCATCAATGCCATTTTGACGACTAAGTTCTTCCTTTCTAAGTTCCTTCCCTTTGCTACTACTCTGCAGACAAACAAAAAACAAAACAGATAAATATAACCTAAAACTTAACATCAAAATACTCCTGATTTTTTTACTAATTTTTCACTATAACACATAATTAATAAAAGATCTTTAAATATTTACCTTGAAAGGGTTGGACACTGGAGAGCTTTTAGAAACAGTATCCTTCATCAAATCAGACACTTCACTTGATTTTATGTCTAGAAAGAAGGAAAAGAGAAATATTTGATTAAAAATTAAAATTTTAATAATTTCAGCGTTACTGTATTTTATATTTAAAATTCCTTTCAAGGACAAAGCAATATTACTTTTAAATTACAAATAGTGTGTTCTTTTATTTTAAATCATAGTCATTCTATTATGTGAAAATTCTTCATTTTGGTAACTTATAAGGATTTCTTTTACCCTATTTTAATTCCATATTTACAAATCCAAAATCTCCTCATATCATGTTAAATAATTTGGCATTAGTTCAATAATGGTATGTATTTTTTTTTTTTTTTTCAAAGGTTAGGAATAAAGAGTGTGATAGAGTGCCAAGTATCACATCCTTATTATATTAGTTTAGAAACTAGAGCCCCATGTTTGGTCAGCAAACAATTTTCATATTTATGATTCAAGTATTAAAATCTCTGTTATTTCTAATATGAATTTTATTCATTGCTTAATAACAAGTCTGTAAAAAATTAGGTGCAGAAAGCTACAAATATATAATCTTTCAGAACATCTTTAAAAGTTTTTTATTCCTAATAAAAAAAAATATACAAAGTATGATTTTAAATGCCCACTCCAAAATATTTCTGATTTTGCTATTTAGCACTTCCATGCAAGCATTCAGTCTTTAGAAAATGAGTTGCAGTACCTGAATCCATGAAACTGTATTTATTATTTTCTTTGAAATGTTCAAATCTAGCTTTGTTGCAGAGTATGATTTCCAAAAATTGGAACATATAATGGTTTCCTTATTTATATTTTTGGTGGTTATTGCTATTGAATGATTAGGTATTTGAAGATGAAAGCATTTATTGATTGCTTGGCAGATATTGCTTAATAGCCACTGCTGAGGAAAGATAAGTCAAGATTGGCTTTCACATTGTTGAGTTTTATGTTAATTAACCAGTTATTGTTTTGTTTGCATTTTCACTTTTAATTTCATAGTTTCCCATCAGGATATAATGTGGTTAATGTATTTAAGTTAGTTAAGAGTTTTGGCAGTTGTCAGTGACTGTCAATCTTTTCCCTTCAACTGAATTATTTGGACTGGCTTTAGCCTTTTTAGCTGCAATCACTGCATGACAGACTAGGGCCTGAGCTTAGTATATATATATATATATATAAAGTGCTTAGATGCACTTTATTTTATATTTAATATTTTAATTTCTCTTGAATATTTGTTCTGATTTTCTGTAATTAAACAGAAAGTGTAACCATCAGGCTGATGAGTAAATAAAATTTATTTGAAACCTTCTTTTGAATCGATATTATTCTACTTATAAGCTGCAAGGCTGATGAGTAAATAAAGTTCATTTTAAATCTTCTTTTGAATTGATATTATTCTACTTATAAGCTGCAATAGATGATAAGTTTGGAACTGTTTTGAAAGTTCCAGAAGTAAACGTTTACAGTAGTGGGGGACTCTTCAACAAATAACGAACATACTTTTGCCCATCAACTTGTTGGCTTTTCTGTACAGATGTACTTGAATTTGATGTAAATAATTAGTCCAATCTATTACTGTAATATTTCACATTTCAAGCTTTTTTTTTTTTTTTTTTCACTACTTTATTAAGCTAATTCTTTGGGTTCAAAACTATCACAATATCAGAACTATAAGGTAGGACACAGCTTACTTATCACAGGATTTATCACAATCAAGATAATTCCAAAAGATATTGCTATATCTGGATGATTAACTGTATCACCATCAATGGGGTGTTGATGAATGAAATACAGTACAAAGTCAGAGATCCGGATGTTCAATATCCAGAATGATCTAAAATTCGGACCTCAAAGCGACAAACTTTTTTTTCTTGTATGCTTTATGCATGTGCATTTGATTCCCATTCCCATAATAAAACATGTGGAGAATCCCGATTCTTAATTTCACTTAGGCACTAAATAAAATACCTCATTATTGAAGAAAGAATCCTTTAAGCATAAAATTGTGAGATTAATAATTTGGCTCCATAGCTGCTTATCTGCTTGGCATACATCTCCATTGCACCTACTAGTATTTTATATCCCTGATGCCGACCTGGTGAATCATTACTCATTATATTTTGCTTTCCTCACTGCATGTTTAATCAATACATGATAACTTGAGTAATGACTCATGCAGCGATGTCTAAATTTTTGAAAAAAAAATATTAGTTTAATGCACTAAGAAATGTTGACGAGGAAAAATTTAACAAAAATTTCCTTTCTTATGCTAAAAATAGATTTTGTTAATGAAACTCATAGGCCAAAAGATTGCATTCAGTACTATTTGAGTTAAGAATAACTGATACATTATTCACATAAACCCAGAACTGGTATGACTGCCCCGTGTGGTAGAATTTAGGAAAGGCTAAAATTTTTGGAATTTGGAGAAGCACCGAGCAGCAAAATTAAGGGATGACAAAATGTTTATAATGTAGGAAAAGCAGGTGATATAAAGTTTAGGAGCAGCAAAAATTTAGAAATTAGGAAGGCACTTTGTAGCAGAATTTAGGACCCGCAAAGACTGCATCAGGCGGTATCTAGCGTCTGCCCTAGATAAGCCTTAAGTATATGTGGGAGTTTATTTATTCAGGATTCAGATTAGCCTTAAGCATGTGCAAGAAATAGATATAGGTATAGTAAATAATTAAACCTAAACAAGAGGCTTAATTCAGTACATGATAGAAGCAAGGCAAAATTTAGTGGAACAACTTGTTTTTCATTTCCAATCTTATGATGCATAGCCAATAATGTATAGCAGACAGTATTAAACTAGGCTAAAATAATCTTTACTGATTCTAAGGAATTTCAGTTAATGCAGCAGACTGTGCTGCTCTTTAATCTTCTAATTTCATCCAACTTATTATTTTTTGCACACTGTTATTATTACAGCAATTTTATAAAAATTAAAGCTTGAACTTTCGATATTTCGAAAAGAGTTTCTAATTCTGGAGCTGCAAAAGAATCTACAAAGTGAAAGCATGTTTCAATGTCCATTAAATAAAAAGTGCAATTGCTGCAAAAAATGAATAAAGGCATATGCATTTAAAAATTATGTGAGTATGGCATTGAAAAGTCAACTGTATATATATGACATAAGAAAAAAGAACTTTTTGAATTTTTTGTGGATTTTGTCACCCCACTTGCAATGAATAACAGAAAAATTGTTCATTATGCTAAAAGTGATGATTGAAAACAAAGTGATCAATTGACATGGATCAGATGAGCATCACAGAGAGGGTGTGCCATTGACAGGTCCAATGTTAATGGCTCAAGCCAAAATATTTCATGAAGAAATGAACTTCAAAACTGAGTGCACATATTCAACAGGTTGGTTAGCCAAATTTAAAAATCGCCATTGTATGAGGCAACTAAGAATTTCAGGTGAAAAAGCTTCAGCTGATACTGAAGCTGCTGAACTATTTGCAGATGAACTCATTGAACTCATTATGAGTGAAAAATTATCTCCAGAACAAATTTACAATGCTGATGAAACAGGTCTTTTCTGGCAATATGTACTGCGAAATATCTTGGCAACCTCTACAGAAGAGACACCATCTGGTGTCAAAGATTCCAAAGCAAGACTAATAATTTTAGCTTGCACAAATGCTGTAGGAATACAGAAGTGCAAACTTTTCGTAATCGGAAAGCATACATGACCCTGAGCATTTAAAGGAGTATCGGTCTTCCCCGCTATATATTGTGCAAATAAAAGAGCGTTAATGAATGATTGGTTTGAAAATCATTTTATACTCGAGGCTTGGTAACATTTGAATTCGTTTGGTTTACCTGATGACATAAAAATAGTCGTGATTGTAGACAAGTGTTTGGCTCATATTTCACTTCAAGTTTTAGTGAAAAATAATGTATCTGTATTATTCTTTCCTCCAAATTCTACGTTCGTCATTCAGCCTATGGATATGAAGACTAGTGTGTACACTGAAATGCAAATATAAAGTAGCATTTTTAAAATCCATGTTAAATTTTTTGAATAATGGCAAGACTATTCACGAATTTTTGAAAAATTTTAGCATAAAATCTGCTCAGTGGAGCATCGCAAGATTGTGGGAGGATGTGTCTCCAGTTACTTTTAAAAATGCGTGGCATAATTTATGGCCAGGTACCATATTTCATGGTGAAGATGATGAAGATGATAGCTGCGAATATGAAGGCTTTCGGATTTTGAAATTTTACAGTTAATGAATTTTGTAAAGAAATGTGAAGAAGCAGTAATAAATAAAGATGATATAACAGAAGTTTTTCATTGCAATGACAGTGCCCAAACATCAATAATTAATGGACCTCAAAATCTGTAGTATGGTTCTAGATGCAGAAAATGCCCCTACTGATAGTGAAGAAAGTGACAGAGAGGTTACTGAAAATGAAAAAAATTTTGATTGACAAGTTATTCTCAAGAAATTCTCGATGCAGCAATTACAGGACTTGAACAGTGGAACTTTGTAACTGAACAAGAAATTATGTCTGTTCATAGAATTAAAGAGAAAGTATTAGCAATAAAAATGAAGCAACTTAAACAACTTACATTGAAAGTAATGTTTAATAAAGTAAACAAATAAATATTATTATTTTTTTTTGTTGTTGTTGTAAATTTTGATACCCTTTAGATCATAAATGCTCTTTATTTCATAATTTCAGTTCTATAATTTCTGCATGCCATCTTACTAAATTTAAACTTATGATTTAATATGGGGAAAAAACCCAAATCTGGAATTGCTGAAGTCTCGATGAGTCCGGATCTTGGACTTTGTTATGTATAATGCAATTTAGTGACTATTTTCACAGTACCTGTCCAGTGCCCAAATTCTTTTTTCTCAAAAAAGTTTCTTCTTCAGAAAAAGGTAAATTTAAAATTTTCATCCTTAAAAAAATGTAACCCTTTGCACTAGAGTGGCGCCGATTTGAAGTGTCAACTTGAGCAGCGCCTGAGTGATTTGAAGTCTTAAATCGAGCAACGCTGCTACAATGTATGGTCTTCTGTAACTCAATCTCCTTAATTACAATGAGCAATAAGATATTTTTCTCGGAAGTACTTTTGTGGACTAGACTCTGCTAACATTGTAGCCAAATCTTAGCTCAGTTTAGTTAGTCTCAGCGAAGCATTTGCTTGCAACAGCCTTGGAAGTAAATATAGTAACTAAAAATTGGCCCTAAAAACACGGAGGAAGATCAGCTCGAGTTCAGACGAATTCTATTTTACCGCTTTGGATGATGAACGTCGCGAAATGAACAAATCCAGTGGAGAAGACAGTGATGCAGTAAGAGGTGTGAGACGATGGAAAATTAGAATTACAGAGAATTAGAATTATAAATGGAAAGTTTCACATAATACTAAAAGGGCCAAAAAAGGACTGCAAGGTTTGTTCTGACCGTAACACGCCTGGAGGTAAGTGAGAAATTTCGTATTATTGTGATAAGTGTCCTGACAGACCTAGGATGCATCTTGGATATTGTTTTACGAAATATCACACCAAAACTAATTACAGAGTGTAATATTTAGCAAACTTTGTTGTTTTTGATATATAAATGAATAAACTGGTAAATTTTATTATTTGCATATGTTTTTTGTTTATAAATGTTTTTAAAGTACTTGTAAAGTGTTTGTCAAATTTGGCCGAAATCAACTCGAGTAGCTGGTTCGCGCAAGCGAAAAAGGCCTCGAGTGCTAAGAGTTAACCTAACAATGGTTTTGCACACAAAAATGGTTATTTGAAAGAGGTAATGAATTTAAACTAATATTTGTATGTTAATGGGATTACTAAGTTAGTAGCTTTTGATATCTTGACAATGTCGTAATCACCAGTGTATGAAATACCATTTACCATTTCGAATAATATTTCAAAAAAGAAAGAGGGTGTGTGTGACTTAGAAATTTTAAATAACAATGGTTAAATATAGTTGTGAGAAATAAATTTAAACAACTGGACAATAAAAGTTAATTAAATATTCATGTTTAGAGAGAATTACTAAATTGGCAGCTTTTGATTTCTTGCTAATATGGCAGCTGTGAGTGCATACATTACTATCATTTTTACCGTAATTGAACGAGTACCAATAATTTTTGCCCTTCCTTTAAAACAGACAAACTTTCCTGCAAAACTAGTTCCATTCAAAAACTCGTTAAATTTTAGGAGGTATGTCTTGTTTGACTTTTAAGCAGTTACTTTCCTGTTATTTATTATACTTAAGTATTTTATTTTTATCATACTTTTCATAAATTTGGGTATTTGTATCTTATGTTAGGAAATCCAGATGGTAACAAGTTAACTTTGATGGTGGTCTTGATACCAGATCTTAATTGCTATTTTGAATAACAAGGATTTCAATTCATTGTCTTTTTCAGTAGTTGTAAGCTTTTTAAACATAATCCTTTTTAACTATAAATTTTACTTCTCCTTATAAACTTCATTTTCACAAAATGTGACTGATGTAAACACCTTTTCAATAAAATATAAATCAAATTATTGCTTGAAATATAACACAGTTTCATTCAAACAAATGGCTTAGTACATTTTATTAGTAACTGCAGATTTTAATGTTGCATATTCACTATACATTTTCTATAGAAATTAGGACATTTTCAACTTTTTGCAATATTTCATGATTTTTAAAAACAGTCATGCCTTTTATTTAATTATCACTCAAATCCTACACACCAAGAAAAAATCAACAAAATGCAAAAAATATTAATGATAATACAAGAATCATCATATGGCTTATGCAAGGACAATGTTCCAACAGGTATTTCTTGCTATGTCATACCAACTATTCTTCCTGGCAGAAAGTAAAACATAAACAACAAATCCTATTATTTCTGGTTCCTTTAGAATTTTTTTCTTTTCAAAAATAGGCTTCTGCAATGCTAGGATTTAGAATTAAATCGCTGACAGATTTAAAAGTTATATTTTGTCATATAATGCTAAAGCAAAGGTATTTTGAAGGATGCACCAAACTTACAATGTATAAGGTGTAACTTATAACGTACAAGGCACTTTTGCACAATTTATAACATATAAGGCAGAAGCTTTTACTAGACTTCCAAATAATTCTTTGTTTATTATTTTCTACACGTCTCTATTTATTATAAACTTATGATCATTTTTATGACCTAATGCAAAATATATAATGTTTGACATTGTCATTAAAGTAGGATTTGCGTTAGAGATTTAATTAACCAAGTTCAGTTACTGATAATCGTTTATGCTTATGTGCAGACATTTAATTCAGATAGCATATCAGACTTTAGATCCTTTACTATAAAATTACTAAAAAAGAATAGCTAAGGCAGATCATTCTCCTTTACAGAATTATTAATCAATAATCAACACATAAAAAAAAAATCAGATATCAGAAATAACAAAATCCCCAGAAAAGAATGTACTGAAAACAGATATATTGCAGAAAGACTAAAGGCAAAACTTCACCATTAAAAAAGTGTTGCTCCAGCAAATCTGTGAAACAATTTAACTCATACCAATATAATTTTTTGGGGGAGGGGGCTGTTTGTGCTTGTTGAATGTTTTCAGCATTTTTATATATCTATAAAAATTATATTTTATATAAAATTTTAAAATATATAACATGTGGGATATCCTATATAACCGTAACTAATTAAACAATTACAACTTCTGATTGAATAAACTTGCAATATATTTTTTGCAGAACATTTTTAAACAAATGAAGCTTATTGTAGGGCAATGCAAAATATTCTTTTGTGAACAAATATGATTAACTGAAAACCAAGCAATAATAAAATGAAAAATATTTACTTCCACATTCCATACTTTCTTCAAAACTTTCAGATTTCGATGATTCGTTTCTAACATGAGAAAGTGGTTTAGGCTTTAATATGACATCATCTTCTTCATTATAGTTGCGAGAACTATAAAATATATGTAAGATAATTAACTCACAGTGTTCTTTTTACTATTATGAAACTATTTCTGAGCTACTAAGTAACAGTATAACAATCAGTATAACAACAAATTAATAATTCTAACAAAAAATAGAGAATAAGTCTGCCCCCCAGCAAAACTATGCATTGCCGTTATAAAACTCTAAAGCAAATTGAAAATAACTTATAAAAAATAATTTTAAAAGTAGCAATAATTATCACAACTGAAAGATTCTTTGATGTAATAAATACCTACTTCTTCTAATTTTTTAAAACTTTAAATATATGTTAATTTTTGTAGCTGAACAACAAAAACTTTAATAACATAAAATGCTTGCATAGTCACCGATGTTTTATATGGGGTAGTTCTGGAGATACAAAAGACTTTTCTGGTGATGATAATTCTAGTTCATCATCTTCAATTCTAGTACTTTCAAGAAGTTTTTCATTCATAACTTCACTAAGGCGCTCAGCAAGAGTAATCTTATGACGCTGAGTGGCATATCTAATTGCCCCTTGAATTATAACAGTGTTAGGCATTAATCGTGCAATATCCAGAGCTCTGCAGTCACGATCCATTCTAGTGGCTAACTAAACAAAAAGAAGGAAAAGCATATATTTACAAAAATTTTCAATATTCATTTAATTAAATTTTTTTAACACTCATTATTTGTCTTAATATTTTGATAAGGGGGAAAAAATCAGTTAGTTGATTAGTCAAAAGAGCTAGGTTTCTAAAATACAAACATAAGACACTAAATTTTTATTGTGAGAAATTTACAAATCAATTTCTTTTATTAAAATTCTAAAATTTATTGCAATGACTCTACATATAACAGCAGTATAATGCATATTGCATAAATGCCAACTAAGCAGCAATAAATACAAAATGTACTGAAAAGTGTCATATTTATAGACTATAATCACTGAAAACTCTATTTCTTATTACCTAGAACTACAATTTGTAATGATGCTTAAAACATACTATGCTCACACACACATCACAGAGGGGTTGAAAATGAATTTTTATGCTGTTGTTCAGAATCTAGACAAGAAAATTTTTGTCTCAAGGAATATGCTAAAACATGACTATAGTGTGTCTGTGGAGACAGATACACTAAACTACAGTCATTTCCAACACAAGATGTAAGCAAAATATGTCTCAAAATTGTGTACATTTATTTTTTTTCTGAAAAGAACATTTTAAATTAAACACCATGTATAGGAGAACGAATGGAAGAGAATACTACTTCCAAAAGGAATCACCAGAAATAGTTAGAAAATCAGTTATAAAAATGCGAACTGACTTTTGTGTCAAAATATTTTTATAGATACAACAAGCAAGTCAGCTGCCTGCCACCCCCCCCAGATAAAAAACAAGACTTTGGGTAACTTGTTTCACTTATGAAAGGAATTCTCAAATTAAAAGTTATTAATGCACTTCTAAATAGCAAATGTGTTTAAAAAACAACAATTTTTTTTTTTTTTTTTTTTTTTTTTTTTAAAGTTTTGCAACAGACTTCATCTTTAAATGGAAAAGTAATACATCAGCTTTAAAACTGAGCAAATTTCAACCCTAGATTTGTCTTTCAGGAAACAACACAAGTATATCATCTTTTGAGAAGCAAATATTTTCTAATCTGTTTTATTAGAAAAACATCTGTTCCATAAATAAAGTGAAACAAACTAACAAAAAAATTCAACAAGTAATTAACAATTTTTACTTATTGTCATATTTCAGGCAAATTGCTGTCAAATATTTTGCATCAAAACCTCTATCAGTTTTGGAATCTTGTCTAGAATATTTCTATAAAACTAATAGCAGTACAAAGATAAATTTTGAATAGTTTAATATTTCATCTCATTCAAAATAATTAAGTTCTCATTAATTAGATACTAATTAAAACTAATTGGTGTATATTTTGTACATTTTTAAAACTAATTGATGTTTATTTTGTACATTTTTATTAAGCTGCTATCAGATCTAGTAGCTATCTTCAAAAGCATGTTGAAAGCAGCATTTCCAAAAATATTTGCTTCCAGGATATTTAATTGGTTGACTTCCAGCATATTTAGATGGTTGATTTAATTGATAAAATACTCAAGGCTGACATCTTAGAATCATATTTAGTGTATTATTAATCGAGAAATTTCTGAATCAAAATGATCAGTACAAATTTTTTAAGGTAATCACGCAGCATGCAAAAGCACTAAGCAATATTTGAGTGGGACATGCTATGTATATATGGTATTTTTGAATAGGAAAAAAAAAAAAAAAAATGTATTAGTTATGTATTGGAGCCTAAAATTTAAGAATTATCTGATATTTAAATATAAGAAAAGTATAATGTAACTTATTTAAAAACAGATATTGTTATAGAACAAGCCACACAATTTATCCAATCCTTATACATGGATGCTCAAACAACTAAGATATGAATAATAAATAACAATAATATAATCCTATGAAAATTGTGCTCAGTGTCTAGGTCTTGTCAAAAATATTAAATTATGGAAACATAAAATACAAAATAATAAACTTAACATGAAAATTTCAATAAAAGTACATGAACTTATGCATATAATTTAAAATTTATAAATAAGAATATAGGCTTCGATCACTAAATTAAAAATCCTTACAGCAAACATTTTTAGGAGGACATCCATCCACTGTTTTTCAATAGCTCGATATTCAGTATCGAGATCAAAACCTTCTTTTAGTAAACTTTGAATACTCTTGTGCATTAAAGAGCACCTTGCATTTTCTTCCTAGTAAAGAAATATATGCAAAAACATATTTAAATACACATGAAACTAATTTGCTCTTAAAATACTGACTTCTGCAATTTGCAGTACAAGATAGCATGATATAAATATTAATACAACAAGCAGACTTACAAAATGAAAATCAAATATTGTAAATATAAGAGTATGAGTGAAATATTTTTTTAAAAAAATAACAAATATATTTTAAAATACAAATACTAAATACCAGAAAACATTTTGTTCAATGATGAATTCATTTTTTCTGTTGAAATAAATAAATGAACTACACAGTTAATTTAACCCTGTTTAGTTTTTTAAAATTTAAATCAACACAAATTAGAGATATTTAAGATTTTTTATTATGTAATGCATTTCATTTCTGAATCAACTCTGGATATGAAGTTATAAAGACAGTGACATCTCATTTTCTATGTGCACGTGAGTATTTAGGCTTACAAGCTAAATCTTCCATATCAAGGGTTCTCAACCGGTGGTATGCAGAGAAGCAAGATATTTTTAACGATTACATTCAAAAATTAAAATTCCAACATCTTGATTGAGGTTTCTCTTGAATACTCGTAAATTTATGTGATCTGAGCTTTGTTCAAGAGTGGTGTTGGTGGTATATTGAAGAGGTGATGCTAAAGGTTTTCAATTTTTATTTAGATGGTATGTGTTAGTCAAAAGGTTGAGGATCGCTGTTCTATATGGTAAAAAAAAAAAAAAAAAAAAAAAAAAAAAAAAAACCTTAAAGTGAATTTTTTAGGAATGCTTCTTTTAGCCAAACAAGTCTTTACATCACAAGGTCAGACATTCTGTTGTATACGAGTATAAAATACACTCACTTCCAAAAGTTCGTGGAGAGGAAAATGCTAATTTCTGGAAGCCAATCAGAATTGAAGAGGATGCAATTCGCTGCAGAGGTACATGGAAGTATGCAAATATGTTAGGTAACAGCCAATCATGCTTTCATGTCAAGAAATATGCAAAAAAGGCAGTCTTATAAGAAGCCAGCTTTATGAAGGGTTACAGAAGTTGATTGTAAGTGCTGATAGAACGTGTTTAAAACTTTTGTACAATTTCAAGACATATGTGTTTCTATGACTTCCAGAAGACGAATGGAAGATTCTGAGCATTGGCGTGCTGTGGGGCACATTGAAGCAGAACAGTCGATCACAGATGTTGCTCTTTTCTTCGGCGTTTATCATTTTGTAATTTCACATTTATGGAAACAATTCCAAACCACACAGACAGTTGTCCGAAGGTTTGTAGCCGGTCGCCCAAGGGTAACAAACCCCGCTGTTACAGTTTATGTACCTGGCCACGAGATTGCGCAGCGTTTTTTACTTTTAGCTTGTTATATTTTTCTTACTGCATTGCGGGTTTTTGAGATAGATGTAGTGGCAACCAGAAAAACATGATGAATGTTCTAATGTAAGCATACAATTCTTGTACATAGCTGTAAATAAAACTTCTGTGTGATAAAAATGAAAAGGAATTCCAAGCGTTCCTGTGGATATTTATTAAGAAAGGTAAGCAAACTTTCACTTATCGATGTTATTAAATGTAAATAATAAGAATAAGAAAAAAAAAAAAAGATCATAAGTTACAACACCCGCGAAGATCGATATATTGCTACTGTAGCCAAGAGGAATCGCAGAGCGACTTCCACACGTGTGAAATCTATGGTTACAGCGTCCATTGGTAAGGCGATATCTGCATCTACTGTATGCCGAAGATTACATATGAGTGGACTGTATGCCTGGGTACCTCGAGTTTGTGTTCCTCTATCCATCCAATCAAGAGGGGCACGGTTACAGTGGTGCCGGGAACATGCCAACTGGAATGTGTTTGACTGGGGCAATGTCATGTTTACTGATTTGTCAAGATTTGCTCTGGTGCCAGATGACAAGCGTATAAGGATATGGAGTAAACAACAAACACGCAATCAGTCCCAAAACATCATCGAACATCACGCATTCCGAGGTGGAAGCATTGTGGTGTGGGCAGGGATTTCATTAGGATACTGCACCGACCTGCACATCTTTAAACGGGGTTCTTTGACAGCTGTCCGTTATCGAGATGAAGTCCTAGAACCCATTGTGAGATTGTACGCTGCAGTAGTTGGCCCTAATTTTGTTTTAATGGACGATAACACATGTCCCCATAGAGTATACATTGTCGATGACTACCTGGAGAGTGAAGGGATTGCGCGTATGGCGTGGCCAGCATATTCACCCGACCCTAATCCCATTGAAAATCTTTCGGATGCTCTCAGCCATACTGTATCTTTACATTTCCCACCTCCAGCCGCTCTTAATGAGCTGGAAACTGCTCTACAAGAAGAATGGCCATTGCTTAATTCTGCGGTGGTTGACCACCTAATTGAAAGCATGGGCACAAGGTGTAAACTTTGTATACAGATAAGGGGGGAATCACATACCCTATTAATGTCCTTTTTTCATTGTATGCTGTTTATTTTCAATTTATACATAATTCTCCAGTATGTCATTATCTGATAACTTACACAAATTTAATAATTATAATTGTTTTCATTTCTGTACATAACTATTGATTTTGTTTTATGTATAAATAATATATGCTACTTTCCTGCCGAATTTTGTGTCAATCAAGGCAGTATTTCTTGATTTTTTTGAATTTTACATCTTCATGCTTAACTTTTGGAAGTGAGTGTAAATGTGCACAGTGGACAAAGGTTATTTTGCACTTCTGGAGACAACTGCTCGTCTTGTAGAAATGAGCTCTTGATTAGCAGTGTTAGATGATAGTGTGTTAAAGACGTTTCTTTGATGATTTTGATTGTTAAGAGTTTTCATTAAATTTTAATCAGCAAATAAAAATTTTATGCCTTTACATTTGCAGTTCTGATATTCACGTAGTCTGTGATACTACAGTGCCATAAAGACTTTTTTCAAATTTTAAATAAAGCATGCTTTTTCATAACAAGTATTATAGTTCTTCCTATCAATATATTTCTGGAAATAAATGAATAAATATTTTAGCATACCTTTCAATTATTTTGCTGTATTAATAATTGATAAGATTATTTAACTCACTAATTCTTTGCTGCGTCACAATATTTATTTAAGTAAATATGGAAGTTAAAAATATCATTTTAAAAGTTTAAATAAAGTTAACTATTTCTCTTTTAGTAAAGATTTTGAAGGCAGTCTCTTTAAGGTATTTACTGTTTTGAGTTCCTGGATATGATCCTGGCAAAATAAAAAGTATAGCCACTTGAGAGTAATATTTATTACAAATCTTGAATAGTTGAATCTTCTCTTTATTAAATAAGTGCATGCATATATACATAGACCTTTTTTTTTTTTTTTGAGATAATTGAGTGCCAACATATATCTTCAAAGCTGTGCAAAATCTATTTTGTCAGCAAGTGAGAAAATATTACATTAGTCAGAAAAGCTGAGAACTTACTTCAAGTTTTCCTCTGTCTGTATCTATTTCACAGAATGGTAATGAAAATGGAATGACAGAAATTATAGGTCTCGGCAACAGAGCAGGATATTTTGAACCCTTGCATAATATACATCTGGAAGAGGAGAAAAAATTATTGATATAATTGATCACCCACCTCATAAAAAAAAGTAATCAATTCTCAATGTAAGAAAACTGAAAATAAAAATATTTGTTTATTATAACCACAAAAGAAAACAGGTTCAGAGTGGAAGAACTTTTAGGTTATTTTAATAAACAAATTAAAGTACAGTAGACTCCCAATTATCCACGGGCAGATTATCCACACCTGCTGCACAAACGACTTTTTTTTTTTTTTTTTTTTTTTTACAAGCATAAAGCAAAGAAAATAAAAATGTTCACAGAACTGAGCAAAACGTTAAATTTGCTAACATCATGCTTATTTATAGCAAAAATATCCCAGGCCTTCTTGGAACCTTCCCCTCTGATGAGTAGTTGATTTCTTACTCACCCTTGCAGTGCCCGCTCCACCGCCCTCTCTCGTCTTAATCTTACTGACACGTCCACTTCCTCCCACTCGCCATTGTTAGTTTAAGCCTGATAGTGTTTGCGAACCAGTCGCAGTTAATTTCTTATCTTTTATTGTGTTCAGTGCTTGTGCTTTTTAGTTTTTCGTTACCAATTTAAAATGTCAGAAAAACGAAAAAAGGTTGTGTTGACGATTGCACAAAAACTAGAATTAATTTCCAAAGTAGCAAACAGCACTACAAGGCAGCAGATGGAATTGGATTGCAGAATCACGAAAACAACAGTGCATGACATTCTAAAGCAAAAAGACAAACTGGTGAACTTTGCATCAATGTAGACAGTGCTTTTGCAATGAAAACACGAAAAACTATGAAGGGTTCTACCTTTGATGAGGTAGGCACGGCATTGACAGAGTGGTTAGCTCAAGTTTGAAAAGAGGGTACTCCTGTAAATGGTCCTATCATTGTGGCAAAGGCAAAAACCTTTTTGAGTTGTTAGGCCTGAAAGGAAATTTTGATGCGTCTTCTGGCTGGTTGACTCGTTTTAAGCAGCAACATGGAATTCGAGAAATTGGACTTCATGGGAAGAAACTTAGTGGTCACGGACAAGCAGCCGACGATTTCCACCATGAATTTGAAGAATTTGTTTTAAAAGAAGAGCTTTCTTTTGAACAAATTTACAATGCCGATGAATCGGGACTTTTGTCGAAATGTCTTCCCACTCGCACTTTAGCATTTGAAAGTGAAAGTAAAGCGGCGGATCATAAAAGCAGCAAGGAAAGGATCACTATCATGTCTTGCAGTAACGCTATCAGTGGACACAAATTTAGACTTGTTGTCATTGGAAAGTAAAAAAAAAACCAAAATCTTTCAAAGACACAAGGATAGAAAATTTGCCCATTGATTACTTTAACAAAAAAAAAAAAAAAAAAAAGATGGATGAGCCGAAACATTTTTCAAGAATGGTTTAAAAAAATCTTTGTTCCTCAAGTGCGTAAACATCTTAAATCGAAAAACCTGCCTGAAAAAGCTGTGCTATTGATCGACAACGCACCTTCTCACCCAGCAACAAGCGTGGTAAAGTCTTCTGATGAACAAATTTTTGCAAAGTTTCTCCTCCCATACATTACTGCGCTAATCCAACACATGGACCAAGCAGTCATTGCATCAATGAAGAGAACATACCGAACCAAGCTGCTAATGGCCAAAATTAAAGAAGGTTATGATCTGAAAGATTTCTGGAAACACTATGCAATCTTGGACAGCATCTACGATATTGCATCTGCATGGGATTCAGTGAAACCGTCAACCTCATAAAATCATGGAGAAAACTCATGCCTAATGTTGAAGCCAACAACAATCTAACCCCTTTATAGTTGTGAAGATGAAGACATGCCCACAGTAACTCTTGCCGATATGGTGAAAACAGTTCCGGGTGGTGAGAACGTCGATGCTGAAAACATTAACGAGTGGTTGGAGTGTGACGTCAATGAACCTGGCTTCGAACACTTGACAGATGACGAAACTGTGAAGAAAGCAAGGGGAGAGACTGAGAATGAAGGACAGCGAAGTGAAGGCGAAGAAGAACCCACTGTGCAGATGCAGAAGACTCACGAAGTGGCTTTGCAACAAGTCGATGGACTGCTGAGCTATTTGGACGACACGGAGTTGGCCGAGAAACTTATGCTATGAAAAATGCAATCTCAGATCAAGAGAAAATGCTTTCAAAACAAGAAGCAAACACAAATGACTGATTTCTTCAAAAAGGTGTAGTTTTACAGTTATGCTTTTGTAATTACATAATACATTATGGTATTAAAACAGTACATATGTATTAATTTTTCTGTGTATCTTTGATGCCTCTTGTAAGTACAAAGCACTTTTCTGCTTTCATTAACAAAATGCATTTTAGGTTAGTTTTGAGTGATATACTAAAATATTAAGTGTTAGTTAAACATTTCCTGTTGTTTATTTTACGTTTTATTGTACATAAAACGATTTTTCAAAGTTGGAATGACCGTTTTCTCTTTTGCTATACCCATTTTTAGCTTTTTTCAGATTATCCGCAATTTTTGTTATCCACGGCGACTGCGCCACCCAATTCCGCAGATAATCGGGAGTGTATTGTACATAATTTTTATTTGAAAAACAAATTTTAAAGGATGCCTGTTTTTTTCAACACTAATTACCATCACAAGAATTTTACAATTCTCAAATCCAACATTGTTCTTTTGCAATTTCTTGGACCATCAATATAAATGCAACACACTTTCTCATTTTTTGTATCATCTATAAAATTTTCATTTTTGTAGAAAATTGAGATGACAAAAAATTTGCTTCTTTACTGCTGCTTTTTCTTGCATGAATGTCCTTTGCATGACAGAACCTTCTCAAATCCTGAAGAAATTGCTCGATCACTAAACCCCTGTAGTTTTCTTGGGTGATGGTAAGAGCATTGTCTTCCTCATCTTTAACGAAATGGGGGCCTAATAAATCATGTGCTGAGATGGCACATCATATTGTCACACGTGCACTATACAGCGGTTTCTGGACAATAACATCTGGCCAATCAAAACCAAGGCAGTGAGTTGTCTGGCGATTGATGTAGCCGTTCAAGTGAATGTGACTTTCGTCAGAGAACCACAAATTCTTCAAAAAATTTGAATCCTAGTACACCATGGCCAAAAATGTTTAAAAACCATCCTGGCTCACATATCTGGCTTTGTCAAGCGTTATCCAATCTGTATCCGGTATGAAAATCCATCTATGTCCTTAAACACTTGCGAACAGATGTACAGCTGACATTCAGTTTCAAGGCCGTTTGTTGTAGATTTCGTCGGGATGAATGCAGCATCTGCTGGAGAACACGTGCGTAATTTCTCATTTGTTAAAACAGTTACTGGTCGACAAGACTTCCTCTCTCTGTTGACACAGTACACTATCAGAACAGCAAAATTTCATAACAATGGACAGCATAACTGTATTACTTGGTGTCGTCTTATTAAACTCCTCCAGGAATTGTTCTGCCACTTTTTTCAAACTTGGTCCACCTTCACGAACACTTCCATATGAGCGTAAATAAGGCTCAACTACAAATACTTTTTTCCTCCATCTAAAGAGACCCATTTCCAACATCAACAACTGCACAGCACAGCTTCCTTTTCGCTACTGAGAACACGTGCAGCTGGAGCTATGCCCCTTTGACAAACGCACACACGTGTTCGAGATGCGAGAGTTTCAGTACTGTACATTTTGGTGTATACTGTAAATAGTTTCAAAAGCAGAAATATAAGCATTACTCAATAAAATTAATTAAGCCACCTAAATTGCTTCTCAGAATAGAATGTACAAACAAGTGAAATCCTTTCCTTCATTTCCAAATGTCTAAAGTAAAATATGTTCATTGGCATTCATGTAAAGAGATGGCAAAAATATTTCACTGTCCTTACATTCTTGGAAAATAAAACCAGTCAATGGATAAATTGTGATGAACTATATAAGCTGCTAAATTACTTTTTCTTGAAATCTCAAAGATAAATAACAAGATAACTAATTAAGTACTCTTTTTGCCTAGCACATGACTTATAAATTTTACCTTGCTGTCTTATAAGCAATATTTATCAACATTTATTTAGTTAAACATCACTGACAACTTATTTTGGTGTTTAAAGCAATGAGCTACCGATACTAAAACTTCTTATAAAACAGACTTAAGTGAGGTACTGAGAATATACAAAAAGATATATTTTGAAAATTAATGAAAGACATAATTATTCAGATAAGCCATTCAACGTAATTAAATATATAAAATTAGTAATAAATATATAAAAAAAAAATAATTAACTTTGAAGTTTAATCATGTGATTTTATTTTTGATTAATAGCAAACAATATTTGAACTGAGTTTAGATAACTAATTTTATTTTTTCCTTAAATTTGAAATATGCTTTTTTTTTTTTTTTTTTTTTTTTTTTTTTTTTTTTTTTAGCATACTCTGACAGTGACATAACACTGAGTATCTTTAAGCAATATATAAGAAAATTTGAATTAAACAAATAAATAATGAATATATATATATAATGGAAATGAGTAAACAATCAGCCAAAACATTAAAACCAGGCTATCAGCTTACTTCTGGCCATGAGTGCAGCCAGGTTAGAAAACTTCAATCAGTTATCGTATTACACACAAACTATCATCCACATGATGTACTAAAAAATGAAATTTATTTACTTGGTGACTTCCTACTTCTCAGTAATCCCGTGTATTTGTCTAAGTGTCCACAGCATGCATTTAAGATGATGAACAGAAGTGAGTACAGGCATGTAAATGGGCTGATGGCTTAGAAGTCGTATAGACAATATTGCACAATGAACTGTTATGTTCTGGCGCATTCCTTGCCATCTTTATTAAAGTCTTTGGAAATGGCAATTACTATAGCATGCTTATGTGCACAAACAAGCCAACAAAGTTTCTACTCGCCTATGCTATTAGTACCATTTTAAGTCAGACCTTTTTACCTTTTGAAATACCAGTACCATTTTAAGCCAGTCAGACAACCTTTTTTACTCTTGCACCCCTTTCACCATCCTAGATCAATTTCCTGCCTTTCTTCCCCCAAACCTGAAAATGCATATAAGTTAAACAACAAAAAGTATAGAAAATGTTGGCAAATACCAAACCTTGAATAAAAGTACAGTATATTTCTGAATATAAGTGATTTGGATTAAGCAGAGAGTGTCTTTTTTCGCTTCAAAAATAAAATCAAAAGTTCAAAATCCATATATAAGCCAAAATTTCATTCTGGTTACTCTATATGAAGCTAACACATTTATTTTATTCATTTGTTGTCTTGTATACAATCTATGATATCTGTGCTAATCTTATTTTTTGTCTGAAAGATGAGCAGGAAGAGAAATTCTTATACAGCAAATTTCACACAGCAGGTGATTGTATTGCTAGCATAATAATTCTAACAACAGTATGGCCATTCAGCATTTCTCTGCAAATGAGAATGCTCGAGAGCGAAGAAAGTCGAGCGCAAATTTTGAAAACACCCGATCTTTTGTAAACCAGCCTTATAAACAATATCGAAAATAAAACAAGTTATTTTCATAAAACAAATAACTCATTTCATTTAAAATAAATCTTTTACAGAAGAAATAAAAAAGAGCAATATTTTGGGATTTATCCCTTATGCCCTGCTAGCAGAAGGGTAACTATGTTTTTTTCAAGATCAGAGGATCGATATATAAGCCGACCCCCAAAAGTTATTGGCTTATACAGTACAAAGTCCGAAATCTAGACTCAATGGGACTTCGGCAATTCCGGATTTGGGATTTTTCTGAATATTAGATCATCAATTTAAGTCTGGTAAGATGGCATGCAGAAATTATACAATTAAAAATATGAAATTGTAATTTATCAAATAAAGAACAATTGTGATCTAAAGGGTATCAAAATTTACAAAAAAAAAAAAAAAAAAAAAAAAAAAAAAAAGCTTAATATTTATTTGTTTACTTTATCAAACATTTCTCTCAATGTAAGTTGTTTAAGTTGCTTCCACAAAAAATTCAAAAAGTTCCCTTTTCTTTTTTCTTTATGTCATATACAGTTGAGTTTCCAATGAAATACTCCTCGCATAATTTTGAGACAGATTGAAGATCCTTTGGCAGCTCCAGAATTGGAAACTCTTTCCGACATAATCGAAAGTTCAAGATTAATTTTTATGAAATTGCCATAATAATAACAGTCTGCAAAAAAATAATAAGCTGGATTTAATTAGAAGATTATGCAGCAGTGCAGTCTGCTACTTCTAGAAACTTTCTACATTAACTGTGCTTTAGAATTAGTAAAGATAATTTTAGCCTAGCTTAATAGCATCCGTTATACATTATTGGCTGTGTATCACAAGATTGGCGATTAAAGCCAAGTTGTTTTGCTAAATTTTGTTTTGCTCCTATTGCGTACTGAATTAAGCCTGAATTGTATTATTTTATTATTTACTATACCTACGTTTATTTCTTGCACATGCTTAAAACTAATCCGAGTCCTGAATAAATAAACTCCCATATATACTTAAGGCTTTATCTAGGGCAGGCTCTAGATATCGCCTGGTATAGTTTCTACGGGTCCTAAATTCTGCTACAAAGTGCCTTCGTAAGTTCTAAATTTTCACTGTGCCTAAACTTTGGATTCCAGTGCATAATAATCATAAAAAAATCATAAAAAATTTCTCATCCCTTAATTTTGCCACTTGATGCCTCCCCAAATTCCAAAAATGTCGTCTTCCCTAAATTCTACCATCCGGTGGTGACATATTCTGCCACCGCTTCTGGGTTTATGGTGAATAACATATAAGTTATTCTTAACTGAAATAGCACTAAATTTAATCTTTTAGCCTATGAGTTTACTAACAAAATCTATTTTTAGCATATGAAAAGAAATTTTTGCTGAACTTTTCCTCGTTAACATTTCTTAGAGCATTTAAAAATCTAGAATCATCGCCAAGCGTAATGTTAGCATAAAAGGTTGCCATACTCTTGCTATTCAATTCCTAATATATAAAAAAAGTTTAGACATTGCTGCATGAGTTATTACTGAAGCTGTCATGTATTAATAAACATGCGGTGATGAAATCAAAATATAATAAATAATGACTCGCCAGGTAGCACCGGGGATGTAAAATAGGTGAATGTTTGGGTTTGAGATGTATGCCAAGCAGTATACTCAGCTATGGAGCCAAATTATTAAGCTCATAAATTTATGCTTACATCATTGATTTTCCATAATGAGGTATTTTATTTAGTGCGTAAGTGAAATTAAGAATCAGAATTTTTAAGTGAAGATCTTTACATGTTTTATTATGGAAAGAAAAATCAAATGCGCAGTTTGACTTTGATGTTCGGATAATGGACGTCCGGATTTTGGACTTTGTACTGTATATATAAATGTAAGGTAGTTTATAAGCATTAAATACTCCACATCATAAACAGTTGATAAGAATTATAACTTCCAAAAATTTAATCAGGTAAATCCTTAGCTTTGCCTAATATAAGCTACTGCTTGACACTGCATGGTCTCAAAAATTTATTTCCAAGCTTCCCTTTCATTTGGTTGGCTTTGCAGAAACATCATCTGCATAATGTACAGCTGGTTTGAATGTTTTGACTGATCAATGTTCATTTCATTGCTAAATTAAGAGTTGAGCTTAAACAGTTCTATTTTAAATTTTCCATTCATTCTACACAAAAATAAAAAAAAGTACCTTATTTCTTGCTTTATTTCTGAAAGTCCAATTACAAAGTATGTATCTGACCTCCCTTTTAACTAAAAATCATAAAATATAAATAATTAAAAAATTATAATAAAATAAAAAAATCCATGCAAAATTTTGTCTTTTTTTAAATATGCCAATGAAAAAGTGAATCATAATTTTGATATGTTTGAAAATTCTTTGAAATATTTTTTATGACTTGTTTCATATGTCTTTTATCATGAATTAATGATATATTAAGAGAAAAGCAAAACTGAATTCTTTCCTTAATTTAATGAAATTTAATTATTTTCATTAAATGGGAAAGACATGAACTAGAGCTAAGTAAAAAATTATAATTTGAACTATAGTATTAATACTGGCTTAAATATTTTCTTTTGAAATTATTTCAAAAATATTTTAAGAATAAAATGAAAAATGTCTAATATTAAAGAGGATATTTACTAAAGCTGATTAAAAACATTTAAAAAATAAAATGGAAAATGTCTAATAATAAAGTTGAAATTTACTTTTCCCCCAAAAAACTCCGTTTAATATTATTAATTTCAATTTTAGTTTAGTTACATGAATTCCTAAAATGTATATTACAATTTTAAGGAGTTAAATTATTTTTAAGGATGAATGAATTACACAATTTATAAAAAATCCCAGCTATGACTCCTATATTCAGTACCTTCAGTTAATTGCAGTTCAAAGAAAATTTTCTTTAAAGAAAAGTACAGAAAGAAATAGGTTATAAAACTCAATCCAAGCAAAATTTAAGTATAACAAGCTGAAATATCTCTAGCATTTACCTATATCTTTCCTATGGCACTTCCCATAATCAGCACCAATAAACACACAGACTCACATTTCATTATAATGCAGGACTTTAGAGGAAAGAGCAACTGTTATTCTGTGAAACTACATAATATAGTACTGTACAAATACAGTTATTTTCTCATCGCTCAGTTTTTTTTAATATGAGAGAGAAAAAAGTACAGTGAAAATATGCAATAAAGTCACTCTAATTTAAGATTAGTAGAAGCTTTTATATAATTTATTGACTAATTTTGCTAGATTCATGCATATAACATAAATATATATGATATTATGGTGTTTAGTATTATATATAATTTTCAGTAAACTATAGTCTTCGATTGCAATATGTGCAAAAGCTCTTGGTGCTATTATCTATATATAAAAAGCCATTATTACATATTCTTTAGAGATTATTTCTTAAAATTAAATTATAATTTTAAATAGTTCAATCATTTTTTAGACTAAATTCTATAACTTAGAAAATTGCATTCTTAGAAGTTTTTTATATACAGTTCATATGAAAGGCTTAAAAAGTAAAATATCAGATTATTTGAATCATTTACTCTTTGAACTCTCTTCTACTTCTAACAAATAAAGATCGAAACCACAAATAAATCCTTTTAGGGCAAACTGTCTGCAATAAACTGATACAATGCATTTGGGGAAACTTTTTTGTGTGTTTTAAAACTGCTACTACATACCTTAGGGGAGGGAAGAAAACAACATAGGAATTTTGGCTGTTTGGGTCAGTGATGGGCATTCGAATAAACGGCAGTCTGGGGGCATTATGGTCTTCAAAGAATTAAAGACCACTCTTTTATTTGTAAAATGTAACTGAAATGCATATGAATAGAAATATGTATGGCAATAAATGGCAAAATAAATTTATAAGCTAATTCAGTATCTATTTCAGTAACATTTGTAATTAACAGTGAATCATACAATATTTATAAGATTAATTAAATATAGTAAATTAAATACATCACCATAACATATATATGTTAAAGAATTGTGAAATTTAAATAATTATGTGTATATTTCAAATTTATACATAATCATTATAATATTTTGTTGATGTGTTACAGTAAATTTCTTTTCAATCAAATAATTATTTAAAGCTATTAGAAAGCTGAAATGAATGCAACTGCTTCAATTTCTGTAAATGATATTGCACTTTATTCAAAATTATATCCAGGGAATCCTTATGATAACAAATTATCACCATCATAAAACTATATTATAATGAATATTAAATCCAGCTTAAATAGAACAACTATTTAAAAATCTTTATAAAAATAAGACATACATTTTGAGCAGTATTTGCAACAGGTATCCATTTAGATCCACAACTTGGATTTAAAAGACTAATTATTCCTGCAGTGTCAACTATGCATGGATGACCTTCATCTGTATAGCTAAATAAGGGGGCAAAAAGCAGTTATTATAATATTGTTGAAATATTTTAATGTAGAAATCTCTCAATAGTTATCATGTTATTCTATTTTCATTAGAATTCATTCATAACATGGTAAATTTATGAAAAAAAAAAAAAAAAAAATTCAGACTACAGCATCATTTTCAATTCAAATTTTAAACTTTATAATGCAGAAACCTGGGGGGGGGAGGAAACCCACTTTTTCTTCTTTTTCATTAATTGAATGAACTTTTTACTTCACATGAATAGCTTCTTTTAAATAAATAAATAAATATGTAAAAAGTATCTAATTATTTTAAAATTTTGAACCAACAAATATTTAATATGTTAACAGAATATTAAATTTCCCAGACATCTCAAGAAGACAAACTTTATCCTGGTAATACGAAAAAACACAAATCTTTATAGAATCAATATTTCCCACCTCTTCCAATGGTTTCTTTTTGTGATGCAAAAATAAAATGCTACACAACTACAGCAAGTCAATTATAATTTTTTAATGTTTTGACTTTAACACCGAAAGATGTGAAAGAAATATTAACTATCTAGTTAAATATAGTCTACAGAAAATTCTATTTGATGAATTATGGTTAGAAATCTTGCTTTTTTTCTGAAGCACTTCTATATTTTTGCTACACCTTCTGACTTTGAATTAATTTGCAATGGTTTTAACCACACCTAAAAATTTAGTACAGTATTATGACTTCAAATGATTAACGGTTAATGACATTCTATTGTTATCAAATTGTCAAAGTTTTGTCCATTTAAGTACAAAATCATGAAAAATACATTCCTTATTGTGATTTATAATTTGGCTAATATGACCAAAATATTACAGAATGAATTTTTAAAACTGATGTAAAATCACCAATTAAGAACAAAACAGAATATAAGGATTTGCCAAAGTAATAGAGAAATATTAGCAAGTAAGAGATTAAATCACCTAACAGCTTGATTTCAATTTTAATCTACCACTTAAAATTATACGGAAAAAAAGAAATTAATTTGGCATAGATTTTTAATAACTATTGATTTCAAAGATCAGACACAAGTCTCTCTTCTTCAGCAGGAGAAAAAAAAAAAAAAAAAAAAAAAAAAAAAAACTGAAACCTTTCAAATTCTTCCCCTCTTTTTATTCCAATTCTTTCAATTTAATAATATTTTAGCATTTTGCTTGGTTATGCTGTACATAATTTCCTCTTCTATGCATTTCAAAACCTGCTTTATTCATGGAAAAATGCCATAATTCCTTCTGCACTTTTTTGACAATGGCTTCTTTTCACTTCTATCATTTGTGTATTTTTCTTTTTTCTTTTCTTTTCTTTTCTTTTTTTTTTTTTTTTTTGTAATTCTCCCATTCTTGATCATACTTTTGCAGTTTTTTAAATCTTTATAACAATAAATTTTGATCAAAGAAATGTGATGTAAGTGACAGCATATTAGCAGAAAGACAAATGAGAAAAGAATGTATAGATTTTAATTTAAATTAAACTGATTAGACTGATTCAATTTTAGTTTCACTTCATTTTGATTAGCTGGGAATGGTTACAGTTTGCAAGTTTTTTGGATGAAGTATAATGTAAGCACCAGCATCATTAATATTCCATAAAAATGATGTGATATGGATTAATTTTGAAATGATGCAGTTTTATAGATAAAATAAATTTTATATTTAACTATATATGCATATATATTCATAATTCTAAAATATGTAAAGAAAAATTTTCAAATTATTAATAATGAATAAAACTTAGCTGAAGAAAATAAACAGATGTAAAAAAGTTACCCAAGCCAACTTAGAAATGCTTTTGAAGTTAGAGGGACAGAATAGTCTTTAATTCTAGAATTTCCACCAAGTTCCACATCAACAAGTAACAAATTGAAACATTGATTATCTTCAACACCTATGGTAATTAAGGCATAGAAATTTTCATGTAGCATTTTATAAAATAAATAATGAAGGAAAAAAGCACAGTATTGAACTGAATATTTAATCTAATATTCACATCATTGAATCACATCTAATATCACATGATATTCAACTTAATAAAAAATGCATGAAATCTCTAAATTGATGTAAAAATATTAAACAAAAATGTGGAATTTATTATTATTATGGCCCTCATTAATTAATCAGTGCTCCAGTATGTCATAAACTTTTACTAAATGGCAGCAGTCATAACCACGGTTACTTATAATCTATCCACCATGAGAATTCTCATCACAGTTGCCTCTTTTGAGATGTTCATTAATAAGAGGGATAGTATATGTTACATGGTAGAAATCTTTTTGGAACAAGGAAACCTTTTTATGCTATATTAAAAGTAATCACAGAAACGTGACAACCACAAACTCTACATGGAATATAAGCATGCTTTTTGTATAAGTTCGTCATGAAAACTTGGCGATAATCTTGGTGTTATTAAAATAACCGAAGCTATAATAACAAAGAAGTCTCCAAAAAGTCAATAAAGTCTATAACAGATTTCTGGAAGAAATATTTTACGATCCTCAGTACTAAAGAATAAAAATCCCTCCTTCCTTTATGAATGAAGATAGCAGAATTTAATCAGACAGAATTAAAACATGGCCATAAAATATTTAAAAAAATTGTTAAAAGCTTATAAACAAAATGTACTAATTTGGCAACACATCCCCTCCCTTTTGAAGAAAGTTCTACCTCAGTTAATAAAAAACCCAACAGTTTTACATAAAATTCACATTTATTTATTTACCTATTTTGTGGCAAGGTTAATTTTGATTTTTTATTGGTGTGTCTTTCACAAAATTTTATGAGATTCAACTAGATAATGAAAAAATATAAATAGCTGAGCATCAAAATGTAGGAAAAGCAAAAATGAATATGCAAATTAAGAATCTAGAAATCAGCAGCTTTTCCAAAAAAATAGTGTTAAATGACTGGTACCTATATAAAATTATACATTAGTATGTGTATTTGCTTTATTTATTGAATGACTGCAAAATTTCTTGCTTGATCTCCATAAGTGGCAGAAATCTAATCATAAGGCAGTAACAAGGGCTTATTTAATGACTATGTGATGCACCTACAGATAGATAAGGTACATGATGACTTACTCATTATTACTGCATTATTAACTGTCATTATTAACTGCATGAGACAGTCATTATTAACTGCATGAGAGGAATGGAAAAAGAGAAGTTAAATTTGGTTCTTGTAATGGCAAAGCAAAAATTGAATTTTTTAATTTTCGTAAGGAATGAGAATTGGTAATATAACAAAATTCCAGGGTTATTTGTAAACTCAAACTACAGCAAAGTGCGTAAGTGGATGAGAGTTTTCAAGGAAAGATGGAAAAGCATCCTTGATGAACTGAGATCAGACCAACTATCTATCAGCGACCACAGAAGATTTGGTCAAAGCCGTGGATGAAAAGATTCATGAAGACTGGCGATTCACAATTTCAGCCTTAGAATTGGAACTTTCGAATGTGGGTAGAGCAACTTTGCACAAAATTCTCTATAAAAAGTTGCAGTTTCACAAATAGTGTGCATGTTGGGTTTCCAGACTATTTACTGAGGAACAAAAAAATAATTTATTTCCTTTATTATAGGCTGACAAAGAGCCATTAAATCGATTGATTACTTTGTATTTTGATTTTTGGGACTGATTTTATAAGGAAGGTGATAAATTTTTAGAAAGGATTGTCACAGGGAAAATGATATGAGTTTCTCACACAATCTCAGGGTCTAAACATCAGTCAATGGAATGGCATTACACAGGATCATCAGTCACAGTCAAGGTGAAGCAGATAATCTCAATTTGCAAGGTTATAGAAACCGTGTTTTGAGATAGATATAAAGTCTTGTTAAGTTTATGCAGCAAGAGACAACAATAAATGCAGCCACTTACTGCACTAACCTGATTAAACATAGACGTGCAATACAGGATAAGCGACATGGCCTTCTGACACCTCAAGTTTTGTTGCTAGAAGAGAATGCCAGATCCCATTCTGCCATTCACAAGCAAAATCTAATCAGATCTTTTGGATGGGAACAGATTGACCACCTATCATGCAGTCCAGACTTGGTGCCCAGAGATTTTCACTTGTTCCACTACCTAAAGGAGTTTTTCAGCAGCAACCACTTCGCCGCAGATGAGGAGGTGAAAAATGCAGTTAAAGACTGGTTATCCTCTCAGGTGGCATACAAAAGCTTATTGAACATAATGACAAATGGTTAAATAAATATGGAAACTATATAGAAAAATACAGAAACATGTAAGGAATTAAATAAAAACAGTTTCTTGAGAAAAAAATGTGATGGTTTACGTTTTATCAGAAATTGAACCTTACTTTCCGAATAAGCTACATACTTAATGTGGTTCTCCTCTTAGCACAATAAATATTTAGTTTCACGTACTTCCAAAAGGCAATTTTAATTTGGATGATAAACCCTGCTTTGCACAACCTTCTTGTATGCTTTAGTGAAATATAACCCAAGAATTACGACTGAGAAGATTGCTGAGAGGATTGTCAAGTCATAATTCATTTGCATTTCACCCCTTACAGAAAATTAGACTCACTTCCAGGCTAAGTATATGAGTTATGTATGGCTTGATATAAAGATTAGCTTGGACCATATAGCTAATGTAATGTGGCTCAATGCCATGAAAAATAACTATTTTTGGATCAATTCATAGCAAGTGGATTCTGCACAAGAACCTACACTGATAAAGGACTTGAAAACAAGCAGGTGAAGTTGCAAAAACCCGTAACAGCTGCCTTTCTTCTAATGAAAATACTGCTGCCTGATTGTAGGAGAATAATTTTCTTCAACATTTTTGTATGAGGTGCATCATGACAGCAAAAGTACTGTGAACAATGCAACAAATTCAGTGTGGAATTTCATCAAAAACATTTAGTTTTTGTTGCTTGAAAGGACATCATCATCAATGATGACAATGCCAGATTGTATGCTGCTCAAATTGATGCTATAAAAATTGAAGGACTTAAAATAAAAATTTCTTAAGCAGTCACATTATTCTCCAAGCCTTTTTAGATTTTTATCCACTACAATTTCTGCAAAACATAAATAACATGCAGGTGAAGTTGCAAAAAAGACTATGGAAGCCATCAAAAACTATTTTATAATATTCTTTGCAGAAAAATTCCAAAGTTTCTGAAAAGAGCTCCATCCACAAGCTTGTCAGCCATCAAAAGAATAATTCCAGAAAATGACAGTGACTATATCACATGCAAAGAAAATTGTTCCCCCAGATGTGTCTGCTTTTGCTACATTTTCAAATCAGGCATGGAGTTTCGTGATCATTCAATATTAGCAAAATAATAAATAGTTAGAATATCATTTTAAAATAAGTTAGATAACTTAATATATAGTTTATCATTGCAAAAATATGGAAAATAAATATGGTACAAAATCTAAAATCTGTACATTCAATTTTCTGAATGATCTAATATCCAGACCTTTGGACCATGAGCAATTTTTTGCTCTTAAGAATTCTCTCCCTCTTCAATGTCTAGGAATGAAAAATATAAATACTCAAAAAGCAAGCATGCCATAATTTTTTTTTTTTTTTTTTTTTTTTTGTCCTCACTAACTGAGAAATCCGCATGTCACTTCTAACCATGTGTTGACTACGGAAATGCATCATGGCCAATGACAATATGCTGATTTTGATGTTGCACTGATGTTGTCCATGATTATACTTTTGGCCCTTGAGTAACTGTGAGAGGTTAGCATTTTTCGATCTAACTTAAACAATAAATAAAGCCCCAAGGCCTATTTGTTTGGAATGGGATGCTGCTCATACTGACTTTTTTTCATTAATATAACATCAGGGAAGAGATAAAGATTCTGAGGAATTTAAGTACAATTAACATAACTAAATGCCTTAACTTTGATTTGATCAAGCTTATTTGATTTGATCAATCAAGCTATTATTATTACAGCTGTCTTATCAAAATGAATATTTGAATTTTGATTATGGACAAGGTTTTTTTTTTGGGGGGGGGTGTAATTTTGATTTTCTTAAGACCATGCATGCTTTATTATTTCATGTTTTTAATTTTATAATATTTACATACCATCTTATTAGATTTAAACTGATGATCTAAAATCCGTAATCACCAAAGTCCCAATAATTTTGGATCTAAAACTCTTTACTGTAATTTCCTAACTTTTCTTAGCTCCAATATTTGCAAAGTATGTTTCAACATCAGTTAAAAAAAAAATAAATAAATAAATAAAATAAAAGATTAAAAAGAGAGAGAGACAGAAGTGTGGCAAAAAATATATATCCATTTCAAAATTACATGAAGAACATAATAAAACCATATAAAGTATTTTCTCCCTCCTTTCTATATGTATTTGTGGTGTAACTGGAAGGATGTTAAATGCATATTCGGGAAGTCTTAAATTCGAAATCCTAGCAAGGAATTGCAGATTTCTTCAGTTTTCTCACATCGAAAAAATGTATATGTAAAAAAGTGGTGCTCAAACTAAAAGGAGGTGGATGATAATTCATCACCGCTAGGATTTGGCAACTGGGTTCTCTAATCCTCAGTTGCTCTTTAAAAGGGGGAGTATATAAGGTATTTTCTCTCTCCTTTCCGCATGCCTTCATGGTGTAAATGGATGCTCAATGTGCATTCGAGAAGTCTGGATTTCGAATTCCGGCGAAAGAACTATGATTTGCTTTAGTTTCATGATCTAAAAAATTTTAATCTATAAACAGAAAAATAATTTTTTGGGGTTTCTAACACCCACTCACAATAAATAACAGAAAAATCATACATTATGCTGAAGATAAAATCTATATATATGAAATATATGATATATGAAAGATAAAATCATGACAAACTGATAATTGAATGGGTGAGACAGCATCACAATGAGAGCATGCCACTGACAGTTCCAGTTCTAATGATTCAATGCTAACTATTTCATGGGAAAATGGATTTAAAAAATCTGAGTGCATATATTTGATTGACCAAAGTTAAAACTGCTATAAGGCAGTTAGAAATTTTTAGGCAAAATACCTTAAGCTGATATAGGAGCACATGACCAACTTTTAGATGAACCTCCAGAATAAATGTATAATGGTCTTTACTGTTAAGATGTACTCTAAAAACCTTGGTAACCTCCCCAGAGAAAGTTCCAACTAGTGTTAAACATTCCAATGCGAAATTAACAGTATTGTCATATATAAATGCTGCAGAAATGCACAAATGTAAACTTTTCACAATAATAAAAACACAATCTCAGGCATATAAAGAAAGATTTTTTCCCCCATAACCAATCATTTAAATAAATCAGCATGGACGATACAAACATCATTATTGAATGTTTTCAAAATAATTTCATGTCCAAGGCTGAAAAAAAAAAAAATGAAATCAGTTTATTTGTTGGATGATGCAAAAATAACCCTGATTACAGACAACTTTCTGCCTCATACTTCCCTCAAAATTTCAGGAACAGATAACAACTCTGTCTGATTCCTCCAAAGTATATATCTATCATTCTGCCAATGGATATTGGAGTGGTGCACATGCTGAAATGTAGATATAAAGTAGCCTTTTTAAAATCTATGCTAAATTTTCTGAGCACTGCAAGACCATTCAAGAATTTTTGAAATATTTTAGCATAAAATCTGCCTTGTTGAGTAGCGCAAGGTCATGGAAGAGTATGACTGCAGATATTTTGTTAAATACTTGGCGTAATTTATGACTTGCTACCATATTTCGCGGTGATGAGAATGATAATGTTAGGTGCTAATTTGAAAATTTTTTATCATCACAAATAAAAGGAAAATGTTCAATTAAAATTTGTGAAATGGTGTGCAGAAGTATAAATGGAGATGATATAACAGAAATTTTTCATTGCAATGACAATGCCCCAATCATTAAACAACTAATGGATTGTGAAATCTGAAATATGGTTTCAAATTCAGAAAATGTCACGGCTGGAAGTGAAGAAAGTGACAAGGTGTTCTTTGAGAATGAAAGGATTTTGAAATATAGTTTAGTGGGAATTCCTGACATAGCAATCATAAGACCTTGAACAATGTAAGTTTATAGCAGAACAAGAAATTATGTCTGTCTATAAAATTAAAGGGAAAGTATTAGTACAAAAAAGGAAACAGCTTTAACAACTTAAATTGAAAGAATTGATTAATAAAACAGAAACAAGTTTTTTTGGGGGAAGGTGTAATTTTGATTTCCTTAAAACCATGCATGCTTTATTATTTCATGTTTTTAATTTTATAATTTTTACATACCATCTTATTAGATTTAAACTGATGATCTAAAATCCGTAAGTCAGAATAATTTTGGATCTCAAACTCTTTACAGTAATTATTTTCCTGATGTGCAAACACTTTCAGCTTTTCCTTCAGTGCTGTTAGTAATGATTGATAAAAGAAATTAGTGCATATTTTATTTCTTATATTTATAACCAAGTTATACTTAATTTTAAAAATTATTTTTGCTTTCACTAATTTGGAACTACCAGCCACTTAGAGATAAATAATTAAAAAAAAAAAATACTATTAAATTTTTATATTTTTTGAAATACTATTTTTTAACACATTTTGGGCAAATAGAAGCTACATTAAATTTTTTTTGCAGAATGGGAAGAACAAAATTTGAGTACCTGAGCCTTTGTGGTAAACAACAGAAAGTTGTTTGTTTCGAGCAGAGCAACATACAACAGCCCCAGGAATTGAGAAAACTTCACATTGAACACCACTAATAGTGAACAAATGTACTAGCCTTTTATCTGTCACACAAGCAGCCCAATCATCACTCACAGCAATAGCCTAAATATGAAATTTAATTCTGATGAACTTAGTATATAATAATTATGTTCAATATGTAAAGATAAAAAATTAGAGCTGCAAATTTTTAGCAGATGCAATAAAATTTTAACTTTACATTGAGTAATTTCTTATCATTAAGACATGAGACTTATACACAAAACAGTTAACTGAAAGAATTATGATAAATATCTAATTAACAATAGCAAAATATGTAATACTTAAAGAATGAGTAAGATGTAAAAGAAATTAAAAATTTGCAAAAATGTAAGAATGTAAGGAAAATCTTAATTTTTAATTAAATGATAATAAAATGTGTGATTACTAATCCAATAATAATAATCATGGGCTTTCCCATGGAAACATCATATCTGCCAACCTTGAAGTATGAAAACCAGGAAGTTCGTCAACCGAAAAGTGGTACTTTCCAATAGATATTCGTGTTGTGGAGCAGCACCATTTTAAAAGAACTCAATATTTATTTAATTTTGCTATAAACAGTTTATTCAATTACTTATATAATGATTCTGATGTAGAATATATTAATTACATATTCTAACGATTGTGTTTTTTTGGATAATTTCCTTTTATAATTTTCTTATACTTTTATAATGTGAAAATTATGAGTAGGAAAGGAAAGCTTCAGTTTATCAAATTACTTTAGAACATCGTAAAAATAAAATAAATTATTAATGCGCATACTATCAAGAAGATAAATTTAGTAATTTTAAAGAGACTTTCTTCCTGCTTAATGCGATCCCTCATGAAGTAATTGGAAGCACATCCCATTAGCAATCAGGAGGTTTGGATTTCGAATCCCGGAACTGCACATTTTTTATTTTTATTGCTTCTAAAAAAATAAAAATATCACTCTACAGTGGCACAAACTAAAATGTAGTAGACATTAAGTTGTCACCACTAGGATCTGGTGATTAGATCCAAAGCCCCCTATGCCTTCATGGTGCAATTATGAAGCACGTCCAGTTAGCAATTGGATTATCCAGGATTTGAATACCGGTGAAGGTACAGCATATTTTTCATATTTCCTGTTCCAAAATGGACATAAGACGTTACATATTGATTAAAATAAAATTAAATGCTAATATTATTTACTGATTAAATACTTGGTTGGATTTTTATATAAAGTTCTATAATCCCCCCCCCCCAAATGGCAGGCACTTGCCTATAACGGCATTGGCCACTACTAAGGCCAGAAATGGTGGCCCTTTTATTGTAGAGGCACTTTTACCTCCTATAAAGGGACAGAAAATTTTACATCCATGCTTTCTCTGGGATTCAAAATCGGGCCCTTCGGTATAGCAATCAGGCTCATCTAACCACTATGCCATCTGGGCAGCAGTTCTATAAAAGTCTGCAAAAGATTAAGACAATTTAGATCAAATAAATTAATGTAATACGAAAAATTATGCTTAAGATCACTAGGAATCGAGAAATGAAATTTACACAATTTCCACTAATTCAATAATGAAACTTAAACTGTACAAATTTTATTTGCAGAAATTAATTTTATTGCTGAAAAATACTTATTCAGAAGTGTTCTTCATTAAGAAAATGCTCATTAATATTCAACTTTATTGCTGAAAAACTCTAAATTTTACAGGTAAAAAGGTTAAAAATTAAAAACAGGGAGATTTGATCATCTACAGGGGAAATGAACAATGTACTGAAAAATCAGAAGAGCTGACAGCTATGAAACACTCATACAGCAGAAATAAACACCAGCCCATTTTCCTCATAAAATCTGTAGAAAGGTGTCTCTTCCTTAAGGTATATAGCCTTATATGTTTTACCATAACCACACAACCCAACCCAATCCAAACTATGGGAGCAAAGCTTTTATCTATTAATAAAGAGCGTCTGCTGAAGAAGAATGCTATGTCTGAAAAAGGATTTATTTTATGCATAAAATATTTATAGCTTTGGTAATATACATATATATATATAATTAACAATGGCAAAATGAACTTGAAAATGAATAAATATAATACAAAAATATATAAAACAAATGAAATAAAGCTTACTACCTTTAATAAAGGAAATTAGCAAGATAGATGCATATAAAAATTTCATTTGTTATTTAAAGGCTTCAGGATAGTTCTTGGTATTTTTGCAATATTGCTTATTATTCACCCGCCAGTTTTTATGTCTAGAGTTCTTTATATATCTTCTTCTTCACTTGATTTTGTTGTATGGAAATTTTCATCATTATTTCAGACATTATCCAGGCTGACTTGTTGTTTTCTCATTGCACACATTTACAAGGATTTTGTGATATAACATTACTATCAATCATTTTCTGAAGCCTTGCTGCCAATGCATTTTAATTCTTTAAGTACACATTTTGGACAATATTCTAAAGAGTACACAGGTTTCATCCAGGCTGTAAATGTCTTTGGGATGAAAATTCGAACATAAGTTTTCAAATTACATAATACACTGAGTCACCAATTCAGGATTTATTGCTTAACTACAAACTGATTTATATGCTAACCTTGAAATTTTCTAACTATTCAAACCTTTAAAGTTTAATTTTCATAACAAAAGTAGGGAACTGAGTCTGATTTTCCTACTTCTCCAGCTTTCTATTCTAAAATCCTCATTATTATGTCAACTTAGAGGAATACTTTTTGCATGTACAGAAAAAAAAAAAAAAAAAACCAATTAAAGACAACCAAATCCATAATATTACCTTCATCAGTTTCCCTGATTTTGCATTTTCTTCATTTCTGCAAATCTAGTTTCTTTTATTACTTTTTTATTTTTGAGTGTGTCTGATATGTATTTTTCCAACTAAAAAGCCTTTTGAAAGGTTTCATAAATCTGCTTTATCTTTTTTAATATTACTCTTTTGATTTTATATTATATTATTTCCTTGACAACTGATAAAGCTATGAAAAATATGATATTTGATGAAAAAGTATATATTATTTTTGGTAACTAATTATACTATGAAAAATATGAATTTATTCATATTCATGCCAGAAAATCCATGGAAGGAGAGAAATAGGTTATTCATAATCTATGGCATCTGATTGATTTTAAAGATAGACTGGAATCTCAATATTAATTATTCAAAACTATACAAGGAATGCAAAACACTAGTAGATGCATATCTTCACAAATTTCAGAGAAAAAGGTTTAAAATTCATGGGCATATTTTGGAGAACTCACCTTACCATTACTTGCAACATTTTCATTTTGCATACCCCTTTATGCTTCAAATTCTTTCTTACATTCATCCTCTTGAATTTCAGAGTTAATCTTCTGAAGCAATGCATTATAAAAAGAAACGCTTAGCCACCCAACCGGGATAAAGGTTAGCGATGCTGACTGCTGTACCTAAGAGACCCGGTTTAAATCCTGCGGAAAGAATGAATGTTTGTAAATGTATAGTGTCTGTGTGGTATAAGGGCATTCTAAATATGCAATGAGCCGACAGTCCTCTGGAGAGGTTTCTGGTAGGGAAAGAGGGGTGGGAGATATTCAGACCCCACTTCCCCCCAGTGTGCTTTCCATCAAAAATTGGGGCAGAACTGAGCAAAATTGTACTGTCATGGTAAGGTGCTCAAGGTTTTTGCTAATGACAGGTACAATGTTGCATTCCTTACCACAATGAATTTCAAGGGCTTGTTCTGATGTTAATGTCAGACAACTGAGATAAGTCACTACAACAAAAAAGAAATGCTGCTTTCAGATGTTTTGCCTAAAAACCAGCCAATCCAAAAGAAAGTTTTGAAGTCATCTCTTTTCTTTCTAGTACCAAGAGTTTCAGTTATTAGAGGGCGAAGCAAACTGATAGCCCTTTTGGGGGGGGCTATGGATTCTTTCCAGACTTTATCTTTTCGTTACCCCTTCTTGCAATCCTCTGAGTATTTCAAATTTTCTAAAATCCTCATTATTATCCACTTTACGAAGCAATTATTCGTAAGTACACTCAAGTAAACTATAAAATATAATGAATATATTTAATAAAAAGATGTAAATTTGTATCTCTTAAAATTACATTACCTCTATTTCTTCATTTTTAGGCATTTCTAAAGTCCAGTCTTTATTTGAATCCCACGATCCAAAATGCATGCATTCTAATTTGCTGCAATTTAATTACACTTATTAATATAATACAGTTATAAAAAAAGTCACCTACCCCCCAAAAAATGCAAGACATAAACTCCATTTTAAGGTGCTCATAACTGAATTTAAAAATTCTACATAAATGTTTGCATTATTATCATACAAGATCTGCATATATTTTAATTCAAGCAAATAAATGAATAAAAATTCATATGGAATATAGTTCAAAAGCAAGCAAAAGAAATGAAGAAAGAGTTTAACTTCCAAGGAAATGAATATATATTAATTTAACTCAAAGGATAAAGATTGAACAAATAATATACACACTATACTTACAGAAGTTGATTTTTACTGACTAGATAACATAAAAGTAACTGACATATTTTTAAAAGACCCTAATTTTTTTTATAAGGACCTTGAGATTGTAAACAAAGCAGTATTTTGTTTATGATCCCAAGATCCTTTTTTCTTGGGCTTTTCTTTTATTCCACTTTCCTTTATAAAATTTAGTTCAAAGGCATAACAAAATGTACATCATAATGTATTTGAAAGAAGGCATATTATGGATGCCCTATCATTTACCATGTTCACAAAAATTTTGATAAAGTTTAAAATTCAGCACAAAAGCAACTTTCAGTTGGCACAGATTTTGAATAAAACTCATCAAAAATTAAGTTTTATTCAAAATCTACACCAAGCTAAGGTTGCCTTTTTGCATAATTTAAAATTTTTATATTGGCCTATTTTTCTTCAAGTCAGATTTACAAAATTTTGGGGAACATTAAAAACTGCTGTATCTAGAATCATGACAGAATACAGTGTTTATTGAAAAATGTTGCTTTTGAAAGAACTATGTTTGGAAAATGACACAAGCCTGAGGATATTAAAAAGAAGCTTAAAGATAAGTCCTTCTTAATATTCTTATACCAAAGATTGGAATCTCAATAGTAACTGAGACCCTAAATTAAACTAAATTAATATTAATATTATAATGATTAACCTAAATTAATACTGAAGTTCATACTATTATTTACCATAACATTAATTTAGAAATAAGTCTTTTAATATAGTTAAGCATTTGAAGACCACGGAAGTAACCAGAGGTCAACCTTCATCATTTAATCTCAAAATTAAGTTTCTATGCAAATAATATGAAGGGAAGTGCATAAAAATATTAATGAAAAACAACTTTATAAATTCTTTAGCATATCAAGTGTATCGGGGTGGGGTGGGGTGGGGTGCCAAAAGCACAAAATTGCATCTATTCTCTAATTCAAAAATATTATTTGGTCCGATGAATCAAATTTCAAATCATTCTGTATTACAGGTATGTTTATATGCAAAGCACACTTTCAAAATCATATCAACCAAAATGTCTTCTTCCAACATTGAAGCCTAGTGAAGAAGCTGCCACACTGCAGCTTTTATCAGATAGTTTTGAGGGTAGGAGAAAACTGGTTGGGGCTAAATTATTTTGGCCATTCATTGAATTCAGTACAAGTACCCTACTTTTTGGTAATGTCAGCTTTCAGACCATAATGCAGCCAATTCTTTGAGCTAAAAATTACTTAGTCGTGGTTTGGCAACATAATGATGAACTTTCCCTGATTTTTGTAATTGCAAGATTTAAACAACATCGATCCACTGACATCTGTGCTGCAAAACATAAGATTCTATTACATTCTACCAGCCATTCTGAAGGAATTAAAGTTTCTGAAAATAGTGTAGCATTTTGTTACATACACAGAGATTTGCAAGCGTAATTCAGAAGTGGATTCAAGCATTTTAAATGGCAAACATGGTTTCACAGTCTATTAGGTATCTAATAGACTACTGTCTAAACTAGATATTTACATGACTTTATTTAATCCATAAATTTTTTATGGTGCAAAATATGATAATGAAGTAAAAAATTAAGAAAAAAAGCTTCAATAACTGTAAATCTCAAACATTACAATTGCAACAAAATTTTCATGTTCATCTAATGGAAATTTATCATCCAAATAAGTTAGATTTAATTCTATTATATTGATTGTTTCTCTAATAAAATTCTACTGCATTAAACCAGTTTTACCAGTTCTTGAGAACAATCAGATTTAAGAGACTTAATAAACGAAAATTTCAAACTAATAATATACACAGTTTGTAAATAAAATTAATGATGTAATAAGTAAAACTATTCTAAACACAGAGACAATATCCAAATTCAGTATATTTAATTAAAATAAAAGTCATGGCAAAAGCTTACCTAGAGTTATCATCTATCTTCGGGGAAGCAAGTAACAAGGCTTCATTAGATAATGCAGCCATTGTATGATTTTTTACATTATTTAAATGCAAAGGATGGTGAATGTTACTATCATGAAATTCCACATCAATTGAATTCTCTTCGTCTGTATTGTAACAACGGACAATTCCAACAGAGTTCCAAAGCTGTCAAAAAGAAAATGGAAGATATTTTAGTTTCAGTGCTGAAATGTTTACTAAAGCACAACATAATAAGGAGTATAACACACACATTTTAACTTGTAGACTAACCTACGAATGTGAGAAAGGAAAAGGTTAATTCATAAAACAGGTTAATAAATTTAGGAAATGGCACTTCCTCAATAACTATAATTTCAACATCTCTCCTTATTAAAATCTCAATTTTTTAAATGCCTTAATATTAGAACAGCATGCAGATCGGCTCTCCATTCAAGAAATATTACAAACAAATACCAACACAAGAACCAGTTGTCAGGAGAAAGAGAGTTAAGTATAAAAAGGATTATGTCACAAACACACTGTACCTATTTCTGAGATTATACAGTGAGAAATAAAACAGCATATAAGAACAATATTCTAGAAAATTACTGACAGATAAGCACAGTATAAAAAGACATATAAAGATTTGCTAATAATGGCATCATAGAAGAATATAATTCATCTTTTATCAAGTGTATCAATTAGAGTTCACATTGATAAAAATAATTAGAATAAGACTAAATATATAAGCAATTTAATTTATCCGTAAAAATGTTATTGTGAGGTTAAACTGAAATTAAAGCTTGGGCATATTATAAAAGATTCCATTTACCCTGTCATTTATATGGTCATTCTGAAATATAATAACCACCATAAATTTTATTATACAACTATTTTGATTCTAATTACCATGGGTAATATCAGTACTAACAGGGGGAAGAAAAAACTGGAACCACAAAGGGGAGATACATCTTTGAAATTTCAACAAATAAAGTAGACAAAATCTCAAACTCTCAAAATCTCCAACAAAAACTTTTTATGTTTCTAGTTTGAGCCCCCCTTTTTTTATTAATATGTGAACTCGGAGTTTGAAAGTTTTCCATATACTAATAAGTTCCTAATAATAATATCAATAGCAATTTCCGTAACCTAATAATAATATCAAGTTCTACTATGATTAGAGCAAAAATAATTTTTCTTAGTCACTCTGAACCACGATACTAAATCAATAGGTATGGAAGCATGGTTGTATTTTGTGACTGCAAAACATTAATTTTGGACAAACTATGAACACTACTTATTAAGTTGTTGCTATTTTGCAAATAAAGGCAATGAATATTCAATATACATAAATGAAAAAAAAAAATTACAAGTTAATGAACTTACCATGAAACGTCGTTCTAAACTGACTGGAGTTGAACTTGGTTGAAATGCAGTCTGAACAGGTGCTTTAGGAGCTTCTATAATTTTTATTTTTGGTTCAACAACTTCACTTTTGACAGATTCATTGTCAACAATATTATCTGTACCAAATATTTTTGGTTCTAAAGTAGCTTTGATTGCACCAATATCAAATTCTAAAATTTGAAAATGTTCAGTTTAGTGATTTATTTTATCAGCACAAAATGAAAAGATATAATCAAATACTACAATAAAATATGACTACTATTTATTATTATATTTAAAGATAAAGATTTTGCCCAACAGAGAATATTTTAAATGTAAGTTATAGCTTGATTTGCAAAATAGTTTTACTACTACAAAAATAATTTATAGAATTCCAATAATCATAATACTATACATACGCTGATCTTTATGATATTCTAAAATAAGCATTGTTCTTGTCATTCATATCAATGAATACATATATTTAAAATAACAATGCTGGTTTTAAAATACTTCTCACTAAAAATTGCCCAAAATAAAGAATTTTTTTCAGTATTAGGTTGGTAAGATTCTGTAAATACTGACTAAATGTTTTAGATTAACTTTTGCACAATACCCATAAAGAAAAAAAATAAAATTAAAAAAAAAATAAATAAAATATTCATTAGGCTTTAATAAATCAAATAGCACCATACCCCATAGTACCATACTTTTAAACCTAAATTTTGAGATTTTTTATGAAAGGATTTATGGACTGAGATCACTTTTTCATGCCTATTATTAAATAATTTTGATTAGATTTTGAATAAATTTATGGAGAAATTGAATAGGCAGAGAACGCAATTAATTTTATAGCTGGCCCCAATAAACTGTTTCTGAAAACATCATACATAAAATGCATGGAATGTAGTTTTTAACCTAATAAAGTACTATGAATATTTTATTAGTCAAACATTTTCTCTACAGTAGATATTAAAAAAGTCAAATTTTGTTTTTACAGAAATCTCTTATTCCCAATACTGGAATTTTTTATGTTTTTGACTTAGAAAACATAAGATTATACTTTGCAGTATTTTGAAAAATTCTGAAAATGGAAGTACAGGTCTAAAATCAATCTTAAGGAAGTAAAAGATGTAGTTATCTTTTTCAAAATACCTTGTTTGCATATGTAATGATACTTTTTGTGTGATGATGTACAATATGATGGAGCTGATAGTTGCAATAACAGCCAGCTGAGCATTTCTACATTCATAAAATTTTTTAATAAAAAATACAAGCTTAGTTGGCATAAACATGTGCTCATTCCTCAATAATCACACTCATATTTTTCACATGTTTACATCTGAAGCAAGAAAAAGAAACCACAGACAACATTTTAGCGAAAGAGAATGCACAAATTATGATATTGAAATTAGACTAGTAGCAAAATAACAGTTCTATTTTATTAGGTTGAATGAAGTTTTGGTTTTCAAATTTAAGATTATTGCTGGCTAAAAGAAAAAAAGTATGTTACTAGTTTTAGGACAGGAAAGAAAAAGATCTAAATTAAAAGAAAACTTAAGATACTATACAATTTACAGCCAGAATTTTTTTTATGTATTCTATAAGTCCATACAGGGTTTCTGTATATATTTCTATTCAAAACATTTTACAGCCTTATCTGTGGGCCAGAAATGTACTAATTAAGAACATATTTATAATTAAATAGTATACTTATTAACATACAGGGAAGAAATTTATGAGGAGAAAAATTCCACAAGTCACTCAGGAGGGAATATATTGCACTCTGTGATACATGGAGTAAAATTAAAAATTCAAGGGAAAAACTAATAATAAAGACTGCCCTGCAGTTAAAGAACAGTTTTATGCTTTATATAAATACACAAAAAATTTACTGCATAAATACAGGGATCAGAAGACTGTATAAAAAGCCAGATCTTTTACTACCCACAAAATTAATTTAAATTTAAAAGTGCCGAATTTGAATATTTGCATCATTTAAAACTTTTTGGAAATGGAAGTACATGTCTATGAAAAACAGTTGCAAAAGTAAGGACTGTAACATGATTTTTATGCACACAGTGCATAAAGGGGTGAGAAACATCATAGTAATTCCCTTTATAATATCCACAGTAGACGTGAACCCATAATTTAGAATACTAAGACAACTGAATAACATACATAAATTAAATTTCACAACTAGCATAACTTAGGCTTTGTGTTGCTGAAAGATGTAAAGTATTTATCTCTGTTTATAACAGGAACTGCTATGTCACAAGTACAATATTTAAATAACTTAACTAGTCTAGCAGATCTGCATAAAAAATTTAAATCTACTCAAAATACACTATAGTCCAAAATAAGTTGTATCTAGATACATGTTGGTATTGGATTGTGGCAACATGATAACCAAAACATTTTGCCTTAACATACTTTTCTAAGAAATTAACTACACATGTTAGTAATAATCATTTGCACATAAAACTGCTTTAAAATAAACCTAGACATAATTTGAATTTGCTCTTCTTAAGTAAAAAATAATAAAGAAACAAAAAAACAGAAGAGAATTGCTTTATAGTTTATGTTTTATGAAGAATTATATTGATTCATTGAATATAAAAGAATCCAAATAAATGTAAATAGTAATAAAATCCATACATTTATTTAATATTTAAAATAAAATAAAAAGAAGCTAGGAAAGAAATTATACAAAATAAAAGAATTCCCCCCCCCTGAAAGGAAAACAAGAAGAGAGTCTGATGAATATTCATCCTAATTTATAACAACAAAAATTTAATCAACTAACCACTTTCATCTTCACCATCATCATCACCAAAATTAATCTCATCTGCAGCAGAATCAATAAAATCTTGTCCTTCTGTTTCCTACATTGGAAAATAAGCCCATATAAATAAATACATTTCTTTTTTAAATAACAGCCTGGAAGAAAAATTTTTTAAGCATAAGGAAGTTTCAAATTTCAAATTATAAAAATAAATTATTTTAGTCTTCTAAGGAAAAAGATAATAAATATAATGATAACTATGAAAGGAAAATGTTAAATTATTCTCACATTTCCTCCCTTATAAATGATGCATTTGTCTTACATATAAGAAGTAAAAAATGTATATAAAAATAAATGATTAATTGTGAAACTAATTTTAATATTTTTTAGATTAAAATCACAACAATTTTTTACATAGTTATAGACCATCATAATAACAATTACATGCATTTGCTTTAAGATGCTGAAAAAAAGTTTCATCAAGACAATAAATAAATAGTATTGTGTACATTCATTAAATGTCTTTAGGATTAAATATAATTATAGATTATATAATATAAAACATAAATGTTAGTAAGGAACAGCAAACAATAGTATATCCTTTAAAAAATAGGATAAATAAATTTAAAAACAGAATTAAAAAAAAGTTCAACAACTTATGATCCAATATCATTGAAAATTTATTTAAAAAAAAATTAAAATATAAGTCACATTAAAGCTGACTGCAATTTACCACATCTCAAATGTAAATAAATTGCTCTAAATCAGGGATGTCAAACTCATAGGTACACTTGGGCCAAACAAACAAGGTTTAACTTTAGGCGGGCCGCAAAAAAAAAAAAAAAAAAAAAAAATAATAATATCCATAGAAACGTAGATTTATTTCGAATAATACAATAATAAACATATATATATATTTATATAGAAAAGAACAAGAAAAATTTAATGTTTACGTCCTGATACTTGACATCACTTCTCTGCTATTATCTTTCCTATTTCGGGAGAAATTTTGTTTGCAGTGATATCTTTCAACTTTCAACGCTGACCCAAGGTGAGCATCATTAATACGGTTTCTAATATGAGACTTATTACCTTTCATGACTGAAAATAACTGCTCGCACCGATAAGTGCTACCAAACATGGAAATAATTTCATATGCGAATTTTCGAGTATTTTCAAACCTGGCTGGTAAATATTTGTAAAATTCAGGCAGGCCCACTTCAATGAATTTTGCTTTCAAATTTGAGTTGCATTGAATCTCGATCACCTCCATTTGCATATGGCTGGGTACTGAGTCAATACTTATTGAGAAAATCGAAGAAAACAAAAAAAAATTGTCTTAGAGGGAACTAAAATCATTAAACCTCGTTTCAAATTCAATTGTTAAATTTGCAATTTTTTCTGCGTATTTTTTGATACGAACAAGTATCATCTAAAACTTGATTTGTTCATGCTGCACGTCGGGAAGTGCGTCAAATCTTCATTTTTAAGTTGTTTTTCCCAAAGAACTAGTTGACATTTGAATGCTTTAATTTATGTCAAACATGTTTCGTAATGATATGATCTTTTCCTTGTAACGATAAATTTAAATCGGTTAAGTGTTTTGGTTATATCAACCAAGAAAGATAAATCTTGTATCCGATATTGGATCGTAAAACAAACTTACGTCTTGATTTTTCGTTTTTAAAAACTGACATATTTCTTCTTTCAAATCCCAGAATTGTTTGAGAATCTTGGAGCAAGATAACCAACGTACCTTGGTATAGTAGGTCAAACAGAATATTCACTATCTAACTCGCTTAAGAAAGCAGTGAATTGACGCTGATTTAAACCTCGAGATCTTATAAAATTTACAACTTTTTTTATATATGACAAAACATTCTCCATATTTATTACTTTCGTACATAGAACTTCTTGATGTATAATACAATGCATATGATGAATGTTTGAACCGTGAATTTCACTAAGTTTTTTTCTTAGTAATGCTACAAAGCCCTTGTTCTTCCCGGTCATTGATGGAGCGCCATCTGTAGCTACAGAATTTAATTTTGCCAAAGGTAGATTGTATTTCTGCAGAAGTCCAAAAACACAAGTAAATATATCTTATCCTGTGGTACTACCAGGCATCGGTATTAGTTCCAGTAATTCCTCAAAAATGTTAAAATTCTTGTCACAAGAACGAAGAAACACTGCTAATTGAGCTTTGCCACTAATGTCCGTGCTCTCGTCCCAGGCAATGGAGAAACTTTCGAAACTAGATGATTTTGCTTTCATCTGATCACTTAAATTCGCGGCTAAATCAGTAACTCTTTCCGCAACTGTATTTCGAGACAATGAAATTGATTGAAAAGCCTTCACATTTCCAGGACAAACAATTTCTCCAGCTTTCATTAGGCATTCCTTGGTGAAATCACCGTCAGTAAAAGGCTTCGAATGTTTAGCTATCAACTCGGACAAGACGTAGCTTGCATGTACCGCCGCTTCACTTTCTTGCAATACTTTACTAAACATGGACTGTTGCTTTTTCACTCCTAACTTGAGCTCTTTCAACTTTTCTTCTCTCATTAATCCTTCGTAATTGTTATATTTCGATTTGTGTTGTTCGTAATCACGTTTAATATTATATAACTTTGGTACATTAATAGTATTATTACATATCAAGCAGATTATTTTATCTTTTATTTCACAGCAAAAATATTCTAATTCCCATTTTACTTGGAATATTCTATGTTCGTCAGCGATTTTTTGTTTAATTTTACTGCCACTTGGTTTTGATATAGACATACTGAATACAAAGGGCTGGAATAAACACGGTTAACGTTAAAAAGTTAAAAAATTTATTCTTTCCACAAGAGATAAATCAAAATGCTGAAATATTTCTTCAAAAATATTCTAACAATATCACAAAATGTCAAACGTTTAGCAAAAATTAATTCAAAACAGAGAAACTAATTCTATCTCACAGCGAAATCGCTACAAATCAATCACAGCATTAAGTAAACAAACAATTCGCTAGAACTACAGCTACTACCGAGATGAGTTGTTTGTTCTCGGCTTTTATAAGCTTTATAATTAATTTCTTGAATATACTGGAAACATCTATAAGTATCTGGATTTTTGTGGATGGCAACAGCAATTATGAGATAATTATTTATTAGGTATTAAATGTACGCGCTGTTCTATTTTTAACTTTCCAATGCAGCTGTCTTTTCAAAAATCATCTGCGTTGCTAAGCCAACATGAAGCAAATCTAATTACAATTCTAAATAAAAAAAACTAACTAAATAACTATGAAATCCGTAACAATATGAATTAAGTAATAATTAATAATAAAGGAAAGTGCATGCACATGCATGCACCAATATATCGTACAAAACTATGATTGGAAAACTGAGAACATGAGTTCGGCCACATTTGGCCATCGGGGAATGCGTTCAAGTTCTGAGTGCACGTGTTCCCCAAAAGCCGAAGGTAGCTGAACGCAAGCTATTCACACGCATTTGTAATCATTTGTAATTTAAGTAGTGTGTGTGTGTCAGCTCGCTGTGAGTAATCTAACAACACTGAATAAATTATCGCTAATTACTTAGCAGTAAACATTTAATTTTTTTCTTCGTCGATATGTTATTTTATTATTATATATTATTATTTGTCGATATATTGGCCGGGCTGCAAAAAATATTTGTTGCGGGCCGCGAGTTTGACATCCTTGCTCTAAATCAAAATTTTTGGAACAGGCTTTAATTTAGATAATTAAAATTATCTTGAAATATATTTAATTTTAGTTGAAATTAAGAATAACCAGATGTTGTTTCTTATATATTATTGCAATAGAGTTTTTCTTTACTCAAGACATTTAATCAATTTGTTACATTCAGTATCATTACTATGTAATTTCAATTTATGTCCAGCACACAGCTTCCAAAATTTGCCGTTTCAGCTTTTGCATGAAGAAGATTTATCTAATTTTGATTACTGCTAAATTCTTTGTTCATAAAAAGTTGCCATTTGACACATTGCTATTTCCCACCTTCTGAATTTAAAGTAAAACTGAAGAGGAAGGGCATCAAAACTACAAAATTACTTCAAATTTCAAGTTCTCACATGAAAAGTTCCATTCTCACTATATAAACTTTTGAACGGGAACACTAAATTGAGGAGGAAAAGAAAATAAATAAGTGCAACTTTTTGATTGATTAACCATATAAGTTCCCTCATAATAATACTGATACTATCAAATCATGTAAAATTATAAATTTATTGTTATGATTTACCATTAATAATTATATGACTTAAATAAATGTGATGCTGAAACTATATAATAAAAGAAACTTATCATTTCCAGAACTTAACATTCTATCAAACTGCATTATCATACTTAGTTTAGTGATCCACAGCAAAACTATGCATGTATGGCTCTAAAAATATCGACACTGTTTAGTAAATTGAAAGTCGTGTTGCTTGCATTAAATGTAATTAAATAAATTAATTTAAAAAATAAAACTTTAAATCAGTTGATCTGAGAGATCACATATGAGAGGTTTTCAAAAGCAGAGGAAGAGGGCATAGTTTTTTCAAAACACACCTTTTCAGAGGATGAGAGAGGTGCTTCATAAAGACCAAGATGTCCCTAAAAAGTTCAATAAAAATTATTCATGTAAATAATTCATAACTAATCATAATAAATATTTTTAAATATTTTTTTAACCAACTGACTGTATCTATACATTACATTAGGGGGGAAAGCTTATTACAGACAAAAAGTAGAAATTTTAAATGTGTAAATAAACTTGAAGTGTAAAAACTATAATAACAAAACTTAAGTAGCAGATGTAATGCCTTTCTTTATATATACATACACACACATATATATAAGTAATAATGTCTTTTTTTGGAACTACTCTTATATGAGCCCTCAAGTCACCAAATTTCTCGCCAAACATTTTTGGTGAGAAACTCCGGTACTATATTACTATGTGAATTTTTTGTCTACATTTCAAACTTTAAGTCTAAAGTGTCTTCAAAAACGTGGTTTTCACACATGCAAAAACCCCGTTTTGAACACACAATTTAAGCTAAAAATCCGAAACAAAAACAAAAAAATTAAATAGCAAAAATGTAAAGTTTCTAACCAAAAATATTTGACAAGAATCCATGTACACAGTGATATGTTTTAACTTAAAAAAACATCAAAGAATTGCACAATCTAGACATGCGAAAGAATCAACGAACTATGCACGCCTCGCTTTAATAAATTAACATAACAACAATAAATTTAAAAAAATACCATGTACATAGTGTCTGTTTCAACTTTAAAAAACATCTATGAATTGCACAATCTAGGCAGCGAAAGAATCTACGAACTACGTATACCTAACTCTAATAAATTAACATAACAACAATAAATTTCAAAGAATACCATGTACACAGTGTTCTGTTTCAACTATACATACCTCACTTTAATAAATTAACATAACAACAATAAATTTCAAAGAATACCATATACACAGCGTTCTGTTTCAACTTTAAAAAACATCTACGAATTGCACAATCTAGGCACTACGCACTAATCAACAAAATAAACTAAAATAAATTTCAAACAATTCAAAAAAACAACAATAAAGACAGAAATTCATACTAAAAAAACAATGAACATTCTACAAAATAAGAACAAGAATAAAATAAAATGTACTTACCATGAATGAATGTTTTTTCGAACAGCAGAAATACCAATTTCATGACGCCTAAAGGCGGCACATAATCACTATCGTATTTATATGACAGCCAGACACACTATCCAGAAAATTCATACTATGCTTCACAAATAAATGTACAAAACCTTTTCCTAAATCCTTTGTAAGATTTCCAGCCATCCAAAAAAATAGTTGTACAACGCTCAATCTACTTTTTAATACACTGCATCTGCATTACCTTAATTCTATCATGCACAGCACTAAAAGTAATCTCCCAGACCCTCTTGCAACCACATCTCTCATTGTAACATAGGCTATTTCAAAACACGCACGACACGAACCAATGAGTAACTAAAACACTGCAGCAAAAGAGTTTTCAACGTCAAAAGGCTTGCCATACAACACGAAATCGCGCCAATATATAAGTAGTAATGCCTTTTTCTTTATATATATATAATATATACACATACACATATATATGTATACTGTATAAAAGAGGTAATTTTAGGTTTCAAAATATTTCAGAGCTTTCATTTTCAGTTTCTTTTTAATGATTTTCATTATTCATCAGCATATTTTATGCAGAAACATGTAATCCAGACCAAATGAAAAAAATTAAATTTAAAATAGCTGTATAAAATGTTTTAAATATGAAAATAACATGCAGAATCTTTTGTCTTTTTTATCTACATATATTTTTCTTAAAGCATATAAATGTTAATACTAGACTTCTACAAGAATTATCTGCCACAAAACAAACAGCTGCTTATATATAAAGATACTCAGCTTTATACTTATATATTATTTAAATCTTATTATTTTACAGAGCTTTTTATGAAAGTAATTAGAAATGTAAATTGAGTGAAATATTAATGATATCTATCAGCAAATGGAACAGGCTTTTGCAAGAACCTAATAAAATATAATATAAGCTCAGCTATCAAGAAAGCTTGGAAAATGCTGAATGCCAGATACATTAAAAATTTCATATAACTGAGTGTACTAACAAATGAAATTTAATGGTACATATCTTACTTTAATTCCAGTATAAAATTATTTGTCTCCATATCTTATCCTGGTCTAAAATTAAAGAAATAATCATCTTTAAATTAGAATATCAAAAGTCAACATTAAAACTGCACAGGATTTTGGAGATAAAAATGCATTTCATATATAAAAGCTGAAGTATTCCATAGGCCTTAAACATAGTAAAACATCTTATCCAATTGTGAAATTCCATTGATCATGTAAGTTGCTGACAACTTTAACCAATTATTCTAGCAGAAGTTTAAAAAGAACAGATTGTTCTTTTTTCAGTTACATAATCAATGGATTGAAATTTTAGACATAACATATAAAAAACTGAAATTCTGCATCCTCTAGTTTTTCGCATTGCATTGGCCCTGTTTATCCATTTTTATATCCTGCCCATTAATTAATCTTGATGTAAGGATCCCTTAACATTAAGAATACCCCACTGCATGCTGTTCCATAGAAGGAAAATAGGAAATTTAATAAGTTTTTCAAAATATGAGAATAAAGCAGAAAAACAGCAGTTAACTTATATCATTCTTTTATAAAAGACAGGCTTACCAAAAATTAATCAGGTTTGTATAAAACCAATGCAATGATCTTATTATGATTTCATTGCAATATCACACTTATTTTATCACCCTTATCATACAATGGCATATTATTGGCAACTGTGTCCTATATGTGCTTTATAATGGTTTCAAGTCTGTCAGTTGCTTGATTTTGGGGGAGAATTTTTTTTTTTTTTTTTTTTAAATTCTGAAACATTCTGGTTACTTGAGCTTTTTGGCTATGGTTTGCAGTTTGCTTTTGGTTCGGTGAATACAAGATAGTTGGGCTTTTGCCATATTTTCAGCCTGTTTATAAAGCAAGAAAACAAAACATGATGCATATAAAAAAGTAATAACCTCAACATCACAAAATGCAAGATCTTTTCCAGATGGATGCCACTTCAGACCACTTATAGCAACTTCGTTTTCAAGTTTCTTTCTGAAATAAAATATATTTTCAAAATGCTTAAAATTATCTATTTCTGTCAGAAATGACTAATTACAAATGTAATGATTATGAAAATATTTTTCAAAATGCTTAAAATTACCTATTTCTCTCAGAAATGACTAATTACAAATGTAATGTTTATGAAAATATTAAAAACTTGAGATAAAGACACAAGACTGAATAAAAGTAAAAAAGAAATTACAGATACAAAATTTGTAGGAAATAATAATCTTTTAACCTAGAAACGGTAGTTTTTTTCTCTACATCCCAAACAAGCATTTGACCATTTATAGCACCAGCAGCAATGTAGTTTCCAAATGGGGAGTATGTAACAAGAGATAAATGCTGAAACAAAGAGTTAATTGGTAAAAAAGATTTTAAAAAAAGGTAAACAAAAATTTTAATAAATTATTTTAACCACATATATTCACTATACATCTCAATTTATAAAACTGAACCTTCACTTAGATGTGTGCTCAAAATTTTTTATGATATACATACCTATATTATGTATATCATATTAATTTAATTATAGTTACCAATATAATTTCACAAAAGCATAATATTAGTTTATAAAAATAGCAGCTTCCTATTACTTAACAAACAAACAAAAATAAATAAATAAACTTAGTTTGGAAATTAAATAAAAGATTTATTTAGAAAACAAATGAAAGTTCAACTCAATATAAAAAACTATAAAATGTTTATCATGTTTAATCATCATCCTCTGATGTTGAAATGTCATCTTCACTATTCTTTATTTTGAAATAGATCATTAATTCATGTTCATTCTAAATTTCACACATTTTTAAGGATTTTATTACAATTTTAACTCCGATTTTTAATCATGCATTGAAAACAAATTGACATAAGGTATCTAGTGATGAAGATTGCATAGCTCCAAATTTTGTATATAATTTTTCACCTTAAAACATCCAGTTATTCCATTCTTCTCATATATGATCTTTAAATGGTTTACTGAGAGAGATAGCTAACAGTTGAAAAATAAGAGTTGATCCTCCAGGTATTAATGTGCCATGGTTTTATTTTCTTTCAATACTGGTTTTGCTTTATCAGTTACAAGACTGTGAAACATGTTCTATACTAATAAAGTTATTCAACATACCATTTTGTCGTTTTCTCCGCACATTTCGCATGCTTAAATTTATTCCTTTTTCATTCGTCGGACCCTTTTCATAAATAGCCACTTAGATAATGGAAGGTAACATAACTTTTGGTTTTCTTTTTCTTTTAAATATTACTATCAGAGTCAAATTTGCGATCTGCTAAACATGACAGCAACACTATACACTAGTTAATACTGAATATGAAAAACCAGAAGAGTTTTTCACTGCACAGCAAAGCAACTTCAAAGGAACTTCAGTCATAAATTTAATTTAAAATTGCTTCACAATGCATAATTTAAGTCATTAAATAAATTATAACATGATTTTGATGCAAGATATAAGATTTAGACTTAACTTGAAATGTGAAGTTGAAGACATTGAACTGTTGCTACACCAAAATTCTAGTGAACTAATCAATGATAAGTTTTCGACTGAAATAAGAAAGAACTGAAGAAGAGAAGATGAAGAAATTGCAATAGAAAAATAATTTTTCATAGTTAGTTTATCTGAATGCTTTACAATGCTAAATAAGCTTGTTACTAATTTGGAAGAAATGCAAGAAAACTTCAAGATATTTATCAAAATTTAAAAAAACGTCAAATGATGTTTTATGTCTTTATTGTGGAATCTGCGAAGAAAAGGAAGGGAAAAAGCAGTTCAAACAAAACTATGATGTTTATGAAAATGCCAAAGTAATAAAGTGCTTTCACAGTAAAAATCATAACTGATGACAGTCAGGCTTCTGCTGTATTTTATATTATTTTAAAATAGGCATTTCAAGGCATTTCCGAACCATATCTCATTTGCAACTGCAATATATAGTGCACAGCACTTATTTTCTCCATTCCATTTGAGATTGCAGTTAAAGTCAGCTTTCATCTGTAGACCTTTCATGAAGTGAAACACACTTAACAGAAATGAAATGGGGGGGGGAACGACAACTGGGGACTTGACCATTTGCTGCAGCTGTCATTAGCACAGTTACGAGAGAAGCCATACAAAGCAAGAATTACCTTGAAGCACCTATTTTAAATCAAAGTGCAAACAATTCAGAATAGAATTTTCTGTGTTGTACTTTGCAAAATCTTTTTATTTCCTTTTTTTCAATTACTTTTGACTGAGATTGTGATACAACTGAATTGACTTATATCCAGCCAGTCAAAAACAAACACTGTCATTAAGTCGACAAGCCCCCTTAATGTGTTTATAATCACATAGATAAACTTAGATATATACCATTTATAAAGCAAAATTAAATATAAATATTTACCTATTAATGCTTTGTCAGTTTTCATAAACTCCTTTGTAATGTATTGGGTTAAAACAGTTCAGACAAAATAGAAAATCATCAGAAAAATATGTTGAAAATCATTTGGGGGCGACAAATTGCACAATTTGAGTTCCATTTACAAATGACAGTGTCATTGCATTAACCATGTTTATTTCTAAGAAAATTTCACCATTTTTTTTTTTTTTTTTTCCCACAGCATTTCTTTTTTCTTCAGAACAGGGAAATGTGGTGAAAAGTCAAGGAATCTTCAGGTTTTGCCCAGAGGATTGGCTGATCTGCCACAGTAAATGTATCTTCTAATGACCTGTATCCTGTGCCAGAATCAATTCTGCACATTTGTTACTAAAATTACTGATGTACATAAAAGTTCACCCATACATAATACTTACTCCTCCTGTTAATATATCAAAGAAAATTTAATATCTTATCCTCAAGATCAACAGGAAGCTTCTGTACTATTTTTATTTCTTTCATTTAACACTAAACTGTATTCATAGAACAGAAGAACAAATAATTTCTTTTTCTACTTAACAACTTCTAATTTTATAATAGATGTCATATTTTCATATGTCCAATGTACATGAAAAATGCTGTCATAATAAACGTGTAGCACAATAGTAAATAAACAACAGTGCAAACATTATTCAGCACAGAATGGGTATTAGCTTGATTATCCCTGTAGCCAGCACATATAATATATATATAATTACATAGGCTTTTCAGGGTATTAGTTTATGATATTAAATTTTCATATGCCTGACATTATAAAATTTAATAGATATGGTAAAATCAATCTAGATTTATATCCAAGTATATACAGTACAAAGTCCGTAATCCGGACTCATCAAGACTTCGGCGATTCCGGATTAAGGGTTTTCCGGATTATAGATCCTCAATTTAAATCTGGTAAGATGGAATGCAGAAATTATACAATTAAAAATATGAAACTGTAATTTATGAAATAAAGAGCAATTATGATCTAAAGGGTATAAAAATTTACAAAAAAAAAAAAAAGCTTAATATTTATTTGTTTACTTTATTAAACATTTCTTTCAATGTAAATTATTTAAGTTGCTTCGTTTTTTGTCCTAAACGTACATGCGTAAACATTAAACGTGCATGCGTAACATTAAACGTGCATGCGTAACATTAAACGCACATGCGTAAATGCATTACGTGTATGTGTAGAGCATACAAAAAAAAAGTTTGGTGGCTTTGAGGTCTGGATTATAGATCATTCCGGATAATTGACGTCTCGATTACAGACTTTGTACATAGCATATTCGGAAACTACGTACTGTTTCATTCTAGCGCCCTCGCAGCGCTGTGGTAGGCATCCCGCGCATGCGCACTAGTCTTTCTTGTTCACTGACTTTCAATTGTCGCCATTTTGGTTGCTCTATGTTGTGTTTTCAGTTTGCTATGCACATTCAAAATGTTTAAGACAATTAGTTCTCCCGCTGACTGTGAGATTCGTGCCGTGATTAAATTTCTGAACGTGAGGAATATTAAACTGGCCGAAATTTATCGTCAAGTGACAGAAGTTTCCAGCGAATACGTGATAAGTGATGGAATGGTGAGAAATTGGGTAAGAATGTTTAATGCAGGTCGAACAAATGTCCACGCCGAGGCTCGGAGTGGTCGGCCTTCTGTTGTCACCGATGATTTGGTAAGGAAAGTTGATGAAGCAATTCATGAGAACAGATGCTTCACAATGACAACTCTTTCAGAGGCATTTCCACAAATTTCACGTACTGTTTTGTTCGAAATTGTGTCTGACCGCTTGAATTATTGCAAACTGTGTTCCCGATGGGTTCCAAAAATGCTCACTGATGTTCACAAAACAAAGCAACTTGGCAGTGCCCTAACATTTCTCATGCGGTACAGTGATGAGGGAGAAAACTTTTTAAATCAAATTGTGACAGGTGATGAAACTTGGGTGTGTCATTTCACACCAGAATCGAAACAACAATCGATGGAGTGGAGACACACTCATTCTCCGAAAAAACAAAAGTTCAAACTGACAATGTCATCACAAAAAATCATGTGTACTGTCTTCTGGGATAGGAAAGGCATTTTGCTTACTGAATTTCTTCCCAGAGGTGAAACCATTAATGCGGCACGATATTGTGAGACTTTAACAAAACTAAGGCATGCCATACAAAACAAACGAAGAGGAATGCTCAGTAAAGGAATTGTGTTGCTCCATGACAATGCTCGGCCCATACTGCTGTGTCACTCAATCGTTAATTCGACAATTCTTTGGGAGCAGTTCGATCACCCGCCGTACAGCCCGGACTTGGCGCCGTTCGACTATCACGTTGTTCCTGCACATGAAGCGCTAGCTTGGTGGCAAGCACTTGGATCTGACGATGACACGAAAATGCAGTGGAGTTGTGGTTATCGAAACTGGCGGGAAGTTTCTTTGCGATGGTTATACAAAAACTGATCACCCGCTATGACAATGTTTTGATCATTGGCGGAAACTATGTTGAAAAATAGTTTAAGACATGTATTTTCATGTAAAAATAAAATTGGATTCAAAAAAATTGTTTTACTATTTTTTTTTTTCAAAACGGTACTTAGTTTCCGAATACGCCTCGTGTTGTATAGCAATTCAAATATTCCAAAATAAAACAAATATAACAATAACAAATGCAAAACAAATGCAAATTTCCATATTTAATGATGCTTAAAAGCATAAAAATACCATAAGTACTAAAATAACAGTCTTGAAAAGGATTATTGATTCTTAAAAGTGCAATTTCAGTACACTGACTAGAATTTAGCAGTGGATAACAATAAAGTGTGATTTAAAATACTATCCCCAACTATTTCTTTCTTTCTTTCTTCTTTTTAAGGATCTGATTTTGTAACAAAAATTTTCTTACAGATAACATGCTCTTTTGCATGTTAGCTGTATAGAAGCATGTCTTTTGCATGTTAGCATTAGAAGCAATTCCAATACATTGAAGGGCCTTTTAGAGGTGGACACTTAGTCCTTGTGTGCTTTTCTGCATCCACATAACCTAATTATCCAAGCATTGCAATAACAATACCATTTTCAGTTACAAATAGCATTTATTTTCAGTAATCAGAAAAGTTTTGTTCTAGTGTTAAAAAACATATCAGAAATAACACAATTATAAAAATATACAACATGTATAGATCACATTAATGAAACAAACATAAATAATAAGTATAAAAATAAATAATATAAAAAATAAATAAGTATAAAATATGTAGAATAATTAGAAAAATGGTGAAGAAAATATTACTGTTTAAACTTAATTTAGACTTTTGATTTAGAAAATATTGATAAATTAAACTCCTTTGAACTTTTTAACATAAAACTGCTTCCATTATAATGGTTCAAAATTAAACACAGCTTCTTGAAATTCTTCTAGCTTATTTCCAACATAAACCAAAATAAATTCCCTTCTCAATAAGAAATACTGTAAGTCATTTCTAATATTGCCATTCATAGTTTCAAATGATATTAGACTTCCCTAAAGGGCAGTTCAATACCAGTGTTTAAGTTTTAAGAAATACACCACTTTTAGAGGTGGCCATCTTAGAGAAGTAATTGTAATAATAGGTTGTCTGTATTGTAGCAGTGAATTGTAATTTACATGAAGAAAAAAATTTGCATATTAACTTCACTAAAACTTATTTCATTGTTATCATTAACAGATGACATAAAATGAATTATTAATTGAAGATATGACTACAAAATAAAGACTATGAAAAGCAAGTTTTTGGTTGCATTTAAATGACCGAACATTTCAAAAGTTTGCATGTGTATAAAAAATAAATATTAAGTTATTACTAATAAAATTACTAAACATCAATGTTATATTATTATTATATTAATGTAATAATTACAGATTACAAATATAAGTCTACCTTTTCTAAACATGGATCAGTAAGAGAAAACACACACTCCCATGTATTTCTCGTATAAAAGCAAACTTTTATATCAACAGGAACTGCAAGAAACTGAAAAATAAAAAAATAAAAAAACATTACATGAATATTGGAATTCATATTTATTATAATAAAATAACAATATGTTACTATCACTGCAAAAACGCAAATGATTCTTAAAAATAGAAATATATATATTTTAATACATTGAAGGGCCATTACATTATGACTACCCTGTTAATAACATGTACGACCCCCTCTGAAACCAAATGCTCAACAACTGGTCCTGCAATTTCTGCACATTGGGAGGGGGTAGAGTGGCAGCACAAATTTGATTTTCCAGGTGGGACCACAAATGCTTTATTGCAGTGGTTCTCAACCTTTTGACTAAAGCGTACCATCTAAGCAAAAAATGAAAACCTTTAGTACTAACACTACAATGTACTACAATGTACCACAACCACTCTTGAACAAAGCTCAGATCGCATAAATTTACAAGTTTCAGACAAAAAAACTCAATCAGGATATTGGGGTTTTAATTTTTGAATTTAATAGTTAACAATACTTTGCTTCTTTACATATCACATATTTTTCTCTTGTGTACCACCAGTTCAGAACCCCTGCTCTATGGGATTAATGTCAGGTGAATTGTGGGCCAAGACATGACTTGAAAGTCACCACAATGTTCCTCAAACCACTCCTTGATGATTCGACCCTTAGGACACGGTGTAATATCCTGTTGGTAAATGCCATCCCCACCGGAAATACTGTTGTTATGAATGGGTGAACCTGATCTGCAACGATGTTCACGTAGAGCACAGATGTCAGGGATTGTTCTGTGTGGATTATGGGTCCTAATGTGTTCCATAAAAATATTGCCCACACCATAATATCCTTGCCACCGTCTTTTCTGCACCCAATTGCGCATCCGGGAGTCGGGATTTCATTTGGAAATCAGCGTTTAGCACACACCTTTCAATGTGATGAACCAGAAAACATGATCCGATGGACCATGCAACTTTCTTCTATTCTTCTAATGTCCAATTCCATTGTAGATGCAGATGGTGATGACGTATTGTCAGTGCAGGGACATGCTTTGACCTATGGCTGCATAGGCCCATACGCAGCAATGTATGCTACACACAGTGTTCAGAAGCATTGTCTGAGTCGCCACTGTTGTAGCTCTTCGGTCATGCCGAACAATGTGTAGCAATCTCAGCTCTCCTCTGGAATCAATGCGCAGTTGATGACATACTGCTGGCCAGCAACTTGTTGTTTCACCATCCATACAATACTTTCAATATTTGCTCACAACAACTGCATGTGAACAGCCCACTAAATGCATCATTTCTGATATTGATGTTCCCAGTCGGCGAGGCATAACGATTTGACGTTTACTGAAATCTGCTACATCAGCTGCTTTTCTCATTATGTTGCTAATCGTGCTATTTTTGGAAAAAATCAAATAGAATCTTAATATTCCGCGAGTATCGTGCAGAGCGCGACGTGTCTGGATCAATGACACATACTTCCATAAAGGCAGATAACATAAATACAGTCATGATAAGTAGGACCTGGAAGGGAGTAGCAGTGAGTGAAGGCAAAGGGTTGCAAGAGGATCATAAAATGATGCGACATTGCAAATAAGAAAGGGCTGGAGTATATATGAAGAAGCAAGTCAATAACTGTAGTAAAATATTACTGGCAGTGGTTTAAAGTAAGAAAATCTCCTCATAGTGTAAAAGAAAACAATGCAAAACAAGTACAATGAATAACAAAACAAATGCAGGAACAATATGGAAAAAAGTAAAAAGTGAATAGGTGATAAGATCTCTCACACACAGTGGTTTTGTACCTGGGCGAGCCCATTGTTATAACTGTATTGTGGTCATAATGTAATAGCTCTTCAGTATATATATATGTATGTATATAAATGAAATTTATTATACATTATGAATACTGAAATTCACACATAATAAAATTTCACTGAAATGAGCTTTTGTTTTAATAAGTTGCAATATTTTAAAATTACTTCTCCATTTGGACTCCAGTCAAGTCGACATAACGAAGTTGCTGTGCTGAAAATTTAAATAAATTCAACTTAATATATAATTAAAATATGCATTTTAAAGATCACTTAAATACAATAAAAATTTCAAATACAGTGAAATCTCTAACACAATTACTCCCAATTCCAAATAATTTTTGTCATCTGCTAAACGGTTATTTTAGAAAACAATTACTGATCATGAAAATTACAGAACTGCATAACAGCTTCATAAAAATAAAAATAAAAAAAAGATAAAAGTAGTATTACAAAGATAAGCAACAAATAATGCAGTAATAAAAATAGGTTAAAAAATGTTCCTTGTGGTTACTTCTAAAATACTCTATGTGAATAACATTTTAAAATAGAGAACACAGATCTTATGAGTAAAAGGAAGAATGAAGTCTCCTTATTCAAATTTGATCAATCACTTCCCACTTTAGTTTTTGATTAATCATTAAAACTCAATAAACTAAATCAAGTGCCTTAATATTCTACATTATGGTATAACATCTTGCTTACATAATTTAGAATTTCTTTTAAGAGAACAGTCGACTCTGCATCATTCTTTAGAGGCATTTGCAAACATTTTAAATATGGCTTTCTCTCAATCACTCATCAACACATATTCATATAAAAGTGAAAACTTAGAAATAAACATGACTGTTTGCCATAATGTTAGAACAGTTGACAGGAGAGACATTAACATGTATTTAAAAAAAATTTTTTTCTTAAAAATCTGCATCTCAATATTATTTAGGATCTTTCAAGTTCATATTGATATTAACACAAATATTAGCTAATTAGTTTCTATGATTTTACAGTGCTGATATTGAAGTTTAAGATATTTGAGAGTTTTGAGCCCCAAACACCTATTTTTATTTTGAAGATCCAGATTTACTGGTTATATTAGCAGGAAAAAACAGCAGATAATTATTCCTTCGTGATAATCATCTTTTGGAATCATATGGCATTGTCAAAAAATAACAATATTTTTCTTCTTTTTTTTTAATTAAGGTTTTTTTCAACCTATGCTGAAAATAATGCCTGTCATTACCTACTCAGGAAGACCTTGGTTTAATGCGCCAATTACGACCGTATCATTTAATTTTAGACTCACAGAACATTTCAGTTTTTCTCTAAAATATTTTTCAATGTTATTGAATTTAGAATAATTAATGCTAAGAAAAACACTAAAATTAATGATTTCCGCACGGGCAAAATACATAAGAAATTTATCCTTTACCTGTTTCCATTTTAACACACCACATTTGCAAAGTATAAATACCAGAGCTTTGCCACGTAGACACTCTTAAAACAGTAGACTTATCATTGTCATGTATGTTCTAAAGCCTGGCATTTTTCTCAAACAATAAGAAAAATTTGTCAATGGGGATATTTTTGGAGCCATCAAAAATTGCACACTGAAATTTATCCACACTGATTGTTGCAGTTTAAATTTTTTGTTCATTTGCTTTTGATTGAGATCAAGCTTCCATTATTAATTTTTACTTTTTTCTGATAAAACTCGTACCAATATTATAAAAAAAAATTGAAGCACAATATTGAATGAAAAATTTCACATCACTAGAATTTTTCACATTTAAAAAACGCCATATTTAAAGATTTTACAGCACACTCGAAGACACTTTTTTCATTACAAACACTGTTGAGATCGACATCAGATTTTAGCAAAGATACTACCATGAGCAGAATTAATCACTTGAAATTTTCATTGCAAAACATCACGTACCTGGCGAAAAAGATGAAAGAGTAAACACAGCCTTCATCAAGTTGCAGAGATAGATAACTTTGAACACATGGCATTAAATCAAATTTCTAATTTCTTTCTTTCGCAGTCCAGTCACTGGAAATTTTTGGGAGCTCATTGGAGTATTCACCGCTCTAAACAATAATCTTGTGTTGATTTTTAATTATATGTAATGCTTTTGAAACACAGAAGAGGAATCAGCTTGCAGTCATTGTGGCTTATAGTGAAGGCTTACAGATGAAGATAACAAAACACGAACTTGAAGAATTTCCAATCTTTATTTTCATGTATATAAAATCCTTTTCATGGATATTTATCCAATCATAATGAAATCCGATACATTTCTATGATTCTGTCATAATGAAATATGATAAATTTCTCTGTACTTTGGTTTTTAACAAGAAATGACGCAGACATTTTACAGAAGCAAAGCAAGGAGATATTAGCAAGGTAGAAGCTAGCAGAGTAATGATGTAATTAGCTTGTCAAAGGTATTTATACAAAAGCAGGTGCGATTCTAGAGACAAGCTATGATTGGTTAATATTAGTTTTAGTTGCCCTTTTCCAATAGTGTTACATAACATAGAAAAATCTCGAATTTAGGGGGAGATCACCAAATCTAGAATGTCAATTTTAAGATTGCCAATCATTTTTAATTTAATTTAAGCAGCTATCGTATTTTGTTGCATCTTACACACACACATATATATCTATATATAAACTTAAATAATCAAACTTAAAGTTAAAAGTAAACTGGTGTCAAAGCACGGTAATTTCTCAACAATATTAATAATTGTATTCTTGTATGAGAGGTTTAACACATTATCGAAACAATTCAAAATAAAAATGATCATAGTAGTACGAACTAAAAAACTAAAAATGCAAAAGGGGAAATATATACATGATAATAAAAATATAAAAATTAATCTCCCTTTTTTGAAAATCCAATTCAGAACTCTACCGCAGTATATATATATATATATATATAAAATCTTAAAACGTTAAGGAATTAAAAACCTATAAAAAGCCATTAAAATACTTGAAGATAACATATCTTTTTTCCAGAAACACATTGCAAAAAGAAAATACTTAACAATAATACAATTTATGAACTAAAAATTTTTTTACAACAGGAAAATTGGAAATATAAGAGTACACAAAATTTTGTTAGTCTCCTTTGTTCAAAGCTTCAAACAGAACTTGTCAAGGGAAAAGTGTTTTGAAGACTCAAACCAAGTTGATTAACAAGACCAACTAAAACAAGTTTCATTCCAACAAATTCACCGAGACTTCAAAAGGTATAATCTAATGTAAAATTCTTAAGAACCCGAACTAATTAACAGCCTCATTAAATTTGACTCTTTTCTGACTTGCTTCAGTTGTCTAAGCTACTACTACAAATTAGTATAGTAATTGCTTTCAGCACTTTTGTACTTAAGTGATAACAATGTTTATTTATTTATGTTCTTAGAAATAACTTTCATATCTTATCTTTGACTTTCATATCTTATAGAGACAATTTCTAGTTCACTGTATACTGAAATGCAATAATCAAAAATACACTCCAGAATTTAAAGAAGATTTAAAGAAAAAATCAAATTATTATTTTGTTATTTGTTTTAAATACAAATACATTACATAACACGAATTAGTTTGTATGACATTAAAATTTAAAACTGCTTAAATATTAAAGTGCTTTAAATTGTGAATAATGTATAAGTTTTTTATTATTATTTTAAATAACATAAACTTCAAGTAAAAGAAAAAAGTGTTAAATAAAACTGCACATTAAATATAGAATAAAAAGCTAAAAAAACAAAAACAAATCATGGCTTACCAAAAATCATTACATTTCTTAAATAAATTAAGAGTTTTAATACATTCTTGATCACTTAAATTCCATATTTTCAGAGTTCCATCACAGCTAGAAGATGACTGAAAAATGAAATAGTCGTACAAGATTAATAATATCAACAATAATGGTTGTAATAAGTTGCCTTGAAATTTTGCAAATTATAATTAAATTGCATTTTAAACAAAGATCACAAATTTCACCAATTATTATTTTTTATAACCAACCATAGTTATATTCATGAATGAACCACAACAAAGAAACATTCAGATTTCAATAAAAATATAACAATATTTTCATCAATATTTAAAAAGTATAGTTACAATTTTTATACATAAATTTAGAAATTTTATTCTATGTACCAGGGTTTCTTAACTGATAGGGAATTTACTTCTAAGGGATCGGGAGAATTTGCGAAGCAAATTTTTTACTTCAGAATGACAAGACACAAACTATACCATAAATTCATTGGCAAAAAAAAAAAAAAAAAAAAAAAAGTTAATGTTTAGTCAAGGTCAAGTTACACAAAAGAGTTAAAAAATTTAACTTAAGTAACACTTTAAGTGCAGCAAAATCGAGAAATATTTTAGCTATATTTATGAAATATTATACTAAGTTAAATAAGAATAAACATATAAAATTTATTAAAATAACAAACCTGATATTTATATGTATGTACCTTTACAGAACATTAAAATAAGAGCTTTAGATCTTAAATTTTATTTATTACTTAATATGCACTACTTAAATCATTTTAAAATAAAACTAGGCTGAATGTGACATTTTGACATATGATGAGAAAGATAGAATGATGAAACAAAGACTGACAGCTACTACTATATACATTTGTTACTTAGACCAATTTACCATTATGCATTTTAGGGAGAAAATAAAGAATAAAAATAGTAAAAAGTATTGGGTTAGTGCAAAAGTTATAGTGTTTTGTTATACAATGAAAACACTGTATTTCCAAGAATTTGTTTTCCATTATCAATGCTTAGTTTGTAATTTTATGAGTTTGAGTGGATTTTTTCAGTTTTGTAGATCAAACAAGACAGAATGTTAACTGAACAAAGTTCAGCACTTCTAGTACATTTTGCTTTTTTAAGTTTAGCTGAAGATCAAGTGTTGCAAAAGAAGTGAAAACAATCTATGCTTTATACAGAACTAATGCCCATGAAGAAAGCATGGCGAGAAAATAGCTCTCTCAGTTATTGTGCATGCAACTTAACTCATTTGATGATTCATATTTAGGAAGATCAACAGATTTAAACCAAGATCACTTAAATCAGTATCCCTTTCAGCCCGACTTACGAAATATAAAGATTTATTACAGAATAATGTGTATAATTTAATGGGTGTACAAGGAAGTCATGTGATGTCCACATCAGATTTAATAATTCAACTGTTGTGTGCTATTTGCACTTGGTCTGTAAGATTTAAACCATAACAAAACAATATAAATTGATCCACTGACTTAATATTTTGAAAATTCTCAGGTCAGTCATCAAAAAGCTTAAAATATTGAATAAAAAAAAAGCAGTTTTCGGATTTATTTATTTTGTATCAACTTTTATTTTTTGCTGCACTGAGCATTACACTTTTATAATGCTAAAATTAAATGAAAGATCTTATTCACCATCCATTAGCAACAATCTCTATTTATGAAGAATATGAATGTTTTACTAACTGGAAACAATAATACCTCTTAAGATGAAGGAAAAATTAAATACAAGTTTATGAAAAGATGATTATAATTATACATAATTGCAAAATGTTAGTCAGATATTTATTGACAGGTTATTGCTAACAAAAAGAGAATTCTGCAATGCCTGGCAGTTTACTACCTCAAGAAATCACAGGAACCATTAATAACATGCAAATACTAATAATCTGCTCTCTTGCAATATAAATATATCAAAACAGTTTTGGGATTATCTCCTAGGAATAGAAAGGAAATTAGGAAACTAGAAAAAGAAATCAAACTAAGGAAGTATGTATATATATATATATATACACATATATATGTGTGTGTGTGTGTGAGTGTGTATGTATGTGCGTGTATAATTCAACTGTTAATAATTCAACTGTTGTGTGCTATTTGCACTTGCTCTGTAAGATTTAAACCATAACAAAACAATATAAATTGATCCACTGACTTAATATTTTGAAAATTCTCAGGTCAGTCATCAAAAAGCTTAAAACATTGAATAAAAAAAAAAAAGCAGTTTTTCGGATTTATTTATTTTGTATCAACTTTTATTTTTTTGCTGCACTGAGCATTACACTTTTATAATGCTAAAATTAAATGAAAGATCTTATTCACCATCCATTAGCAACAATCTCTATTTATGAAGAATATGAATGTTTTACTAACTGGAAACAATAATACCTCTTAAGATGAAGGAAAAATTAAATACAAGTTTATGAAAAGATGATTATAATTATACATAATTGCAAAATGTTAGTCAGATATTTATTGACAGGTTATTGCTAACAAAAAGAGAATTCTGCAATGCCTGGCAGTTTACTACCTCAAGAAATCACAGGAACCATTAATAACATGCAAATACTAATAATCTGCTCTCTTGCAATATAAATATATCAAAACAGTTTTGGGATTATCTCCTAGGAATAGAAAGGAAATTAGGAAACTAGAAAAAGGAATCAAACTAAGGAAGTATGTATATATATATATATGTGTGTGTGTGAGAGTGTATGTATGTGCGTGTATACATGAACACGTATTCAGGATAGAATGCTAACTTGATTTTGTGATCTTCATAGATGTATGAAAGAATAATGATCAAGACTTCTCATCAAAATGGAAACAGAAACATCTTTTTCATATTCATAAAAAAAGCAAATATTAATAGATTTTATAAAATACTAAATTACATACCTGGTGATTATAATTAAAGTTCACATTTCAAAATGGTCTGAAATAAGAACCAATTAATAGAATGACTTCGAATTTTGCCTGAATACTCATAAAAGCAGTAGAATTTGTTTTGGTGTAATAAAATAATAATAATAATTTTCAAAGTATCCATTAAATGGAATATACTTTAAATATCCCCAAAGCCTCAAAACCAGATGGGGTTCACATCTGCTGAACATGCTAACCATGTCCCATGAAAATGGCAGTTGATTATTCATTGATTTTTGAAATGATAGCTAAGCAGCCACTTCACTGGTATAGTGATATGTAATAAAACCACACCTTGAATTAAAATTAGTGACAGTCAGGCAATGAAAGAAAGATTCATAATGATGACCACTGACAGAATAGCTATGGGGATATTCAGGGCCCCAACTTTCTCAAGGAGGGGAAGAGAAAGGTCAACTATAAATGCTACTATAAAAGTACACCATAAAATGATTTTTGGAGTATGAAGAATTACTTGAACTAACACATGCAGAATTTCAGTTGATCAAATTCTGAAATTCTGCATATTAACTATACCCATGTTAATGTGTTTTGCCATTCCACAAAATATTCCACAGCCATTCATCATGGACTTCTATCTGAGTAATAAACAGATGCATGGACAATTCTCAAGCTTTCTCATCCAAATATAACAGTTCTTGAACATGCACAGATCCCAACTTTTAAATATGAAAAATTGGGAGGTTCACCCTCCCAAAACTGTGAATTTTTTTAAAGGCTTAAGTACTGCACAGCAGCACCATTTTAAAAGACCTCAGCTTACAAAATTCTGAGTAGGAAAAGAACAATTTACTTTTAAACATATTAAAAATAAAATTAATAACTAATGTACATAATACTGTATGGATAAACTTAGTAATGTACCATATATTTGTAAGATACTTCCTTTTTTGTTATTGCATGTCTTTGTGTTGTTAATTGGAAGCACATTCGGTAACAATCAGGTAGCCCAGGGTTTGAATCCCAGAAAGGGCATTGCACATTTATATCATCTGCTCTAAAAAATAAATGACATCCTACAATGGCACATCTAAAGCGATAATTTGTCATCATCAGGCTTTCGCAACTAGGTCAAAGTCCCCAATGCTTTAATGGTGTAATTAGAAGCATATTCCAGCTAGCAGTCGGAAGGTCCGGAGTTCGAATTCCAGTGTAGGCAATGCATTTCCTGTTTCCTCTTCCTAAATGAACCTAATGACTCTATAGATTTATTAAAACAAAATTAAATTCAAATATTTACCAATTAAACATTGGTTTGAATCATCATATAAAGACCTATATAAGTCTACAGTAGATTATGACAATTCAGATCAAATAAAATTTAATGCGTAGCTGCTTTAATTACGCTGAAGATAACTAGGGATCAGACAATGAAAATTTGTACAAAGTTTCATCAATTCAGTAAAGAAACTTAAACTGTGCAACTTAAATTTATTGTTCAAAAACACTTTCTTTAGTAAAATCTAAATATTAAAAACTGGGAGAACCGACAGTAATGAACATGAGTAGTTTTGAAATTATAGAGGGGGGGGGGAAGCCAGAATTTTCACAAACAATGGAAAGCACATTCTGTGGTTCTTCTTACATAAATGTCTGTGATATGTGTATATTACATGTAATTTTCAGCTTTTAATACCATCCGTACACCACAGTGTCTGCTAATAGAAAAAGTTGAACTATTTTTTTTTCCCTAAGCAAAACTCTCACGCTTCGCAAATATTCATGTAAAATTTCAAGACATTTCTGACAGTGATTCTTATTTCAAGCCAATTTAGAATGAGAATTACAATTACAGATACATTATTAATGAATAATTTTTTATTCATATAACCTCTATATTTCACTAAATAACAAAATAAAGAAATTACATGCTAACCTTAATCATGTTTACTATCTTTTCTTCTTTTCTTTTTTTTTTTTTCATTTTAAATGTGCATTTTAAATAAAAATACACAAATAAGCTTTTCAATCACTTTGTATTATCATTTTAAACTTATCCAGTTAGCATAGTAAAATACAGAAAACAATAAAATTTTATACAATGGAGTTTTATCAAAAATAAATGAAGTTAAATATGTACACATAAATAAGAATAATAACATCTAGAGCTACCAAATATTTTTGCTCCGGGTCAAAGCACAAGCTCAGTATTGGACCATCATGACCTCTGAAAGCAATCAAAGTCTTCTCTGCTGTATCAAATACTTTTATTGAAAAATCCCTATGGATATATAAAATATATATATAAGTATTTACTACAAAAAAAAAAAAAAAAAAAAAAATCAATGCCGTTTTAATAAGCAGTAAACACAGCCTCACTAAATAAAGAAAGTTAGAGAGGTATTGTTTCATGTTAATGTTTCCTCAGTTTTGCATAAACAAGCTAGATAAGAAGAAAACTTAATCTACATCGCAACTGAAAGCAATAATTTTTTATAAATAAAATAAATAAAAGGATAAAGCAAAGAAATAAAGAAAATAAAAGCATAAAAATATCTTAAGCAGAATCCAAAGGTATTGTTATAATTTTTCTTCATTGAAATAACAGCAAATTCAGCTCCGAGAAAATGGGATCATTACAGTAGAAAACGCATAATTTTTTAGCTTAAAAAATGCACTCACTGAGCAAAAGGTAAAAAATATGATCTCAGTTTACAAACAGATTATGCTGTCTTTACATTAATTAGAGGGCTTCTTACAGCCTTCTGTTTAAACTCTTTTAGCAGCAACATTTCAAAGATGTTAGTTATTTCCTCACACATGTGTACACACAACAAATATCTCAGCCATGAAGTCCTTCATAGAGTCAACTGGATTTTCGCAAAAGAGGGCTTTTAAATGTACCCATAAAAAGTAAGCACTAAATTATTGATAAATCAAGTTAGCAGGTTAGCCAACAGACTGGTCTACTACAATAACCCATAGTGGAAATATGCCAAAAAAGTCTGATTCCTGTTTAAGGAAGAAAGGGATGTTTTTCCTCGTGTCTTAAAAATGAATTATTATAATTTTCCAACTTATAAAAATTTTCTATTCCAGGATTTTATTATTAGTTTTAGATAGAAAATAGGTTTTAGGAAATTCAAAAATTGCAGTCAAAAGAAATCAATCCAAGAAATTTGTGGATCAGTTTATTCTCCTGATCCCACACTCTTTCTTCAATTATTTTCCCTTCTTGCTTCATCGTTGCGCACTATCTTTGATTCACTCTCCATCCCACTTTTATCAAGGTTATTATCAATGAGTGCCAGATTGTAAAAATGAGCCAATTCAGTTTAGAAAGTAAAAGATTATGATCTGATTACATAAGAGAGCAGTTTTGCACACCTCTATTCATAAAATCCACTCATATGTCCACAAAGAATCACTCTTAGAATGTATGTGTAGCATGTTGTGCCTACACATGACAACTGAGCATACTAAAAATACCTCTGAATATAAAAATAGTTTCATCAGTGCACATAAGGTAAGAAATTTGGTCACAGTGAACTCTGCTACAAAAATCATTGATAGAATCTGTACACAGAATAGCTAATAAATCAAGCATAAACTTTAGATTTTGAAGCTTGATTTTTCTGAAAAGGGAATGAATGTAATTTTCCAAATGGTGGGCCGAACCCATCTACGGTGGTTCTCTTTCCCACAATGTTAAGACAATGTTTATATATCGTGCAGCTCTTGGTTGACACATTTCTTGCCTACTAACACTGAAAGAACTACTTTCAGAAAGTTGGTTGTGATCCAGAATGCATATATTGAGAAAGCAATTCTATAAATTGATAATGCTCTTCTCCCATAACCATTTGCAGCATGAGTATTTGCTACATGTCTACCTTCTTGGCAATTGTAAAATCTCTCATAATGGGTAACAATCATATTCATATAACCTCTATATTTCATCAGTTAAATGTTAAAGGTCTTTTAAATTACATGAGATTTATACAACACATTTGAAAAATTATGAAGCATAAAGAATAGCATCTCACCCTCCTCCACAAGCAACTAATTTTCCATCACTGCTACAAACAATATGATACACAGCTGTATTAAACTGAGCTACAATTCTTTCAAATGTAATACTGGGAAATGCATAAGAAGAAACTGAAAAAGCATCCGATGCTACATAAAGTGTGCCATTCTAAAAATAAAAAAAAGAAGTAAACATAACACACATTTACAATATAATTTTATAAATTACTTCACTAAAAGACAAATACAAAATTTAGTGACATAAATAAAGATTTGCTATGCTTTTTTACAATTTTATTTAATGGTAAATGTACAACGTTATTAACATTATACTATACATAACTACTCAAACTTTATTACATTAATGTACGATTTATTAAAATATTAACTATAGAGATATTACATATAGTTTACTCAAATTGGATTAAATACTGTCATAAAAATTGCTGAATAGAGAATTTAATAATGCAATATATTAACATGTTATTGCGAGGATAACTGGAAAAGCACGATTTCCAGTGAAGGCAGACACTATCTACATGTTTGTCGTGAAAGTTTATTTTGTGAAATGCATAAATTGATTTGAGAGTATAGTGCTATTCAGACTATACTGAGAATATTAAACACTAAGGCAATAAAATTGCTAAATGTCAATGGCATTTAATTTCAATTCAATTTCTAATATGCTTCTGTTATCACAGTATTATGTAAGTCAGAGCAGTTTGGCTCATATTTATGTCAGGCCAAATTTACTACATAAATATGAGACAAAATTCTTAGAAAATCTTCAACAAAGCAACATGGGCAAACGTATATATTCTGGCTAAAGTGAATTATCAGGTTGAAGCCAAATTTGGCATTTCTGTGGTTAGATATTGATTTTATTCTCACAATCTTACTTTTTTGATTGTTAGGTAATGATTTTATCCTGGCAACCTTACTTTTTTTAATATCTTAAATGAGTGTGATATTTCTCTCACGGTCATACGCCTTTCTCTGAATGCAATTTATTATTTTTAAAACAGTTTATTTGGAGCGAAAACAGAAATGTTTTTGTTCCAGCAGTGCATGGAAATGGATGTAATAGCTAATAATGTGAATGTTTTATGTGTGATGATGAGATGTGTTTAATAAATAGCTGGCATGCACTGTCAAATGCTTTTGTAAGTCAAAACTAATCGCTGTATATATGAAGAGAAGCACAGTGAGAAAAAAAAAAAAAGTCGCAGAATTTCATGAAAAACGTCTTTTATTTTTCAAGGTAATCCTTGTTTAATAATTACAATTTGTATTTTATATTGCTAAAGTACGTGGTACTTACGTATTAACGCAACCAGGCCAAAATTCGCATAAATTGCCAAATTTGGTGACCCTACTTACAGCAACCCTACGTGTTATGCGTAGTTTTGTAAAAAGAGCATGTGGAGATTCACAAAATTTTCCTGCATTTTCGTGCAAATTTTTGTAATTTATGAGAAAATATCAGTGTACATGGATAAAGTCGAGGGTGTGCACAATGCCATTTTTGTACAATTCTGGGATGTTTTTTTAAGTAAAAATAAGTCGACGTGTACATGGTTATCGCAAATACGGTTTTCAATCAGTGCTAAAAGCAATAGCCAAAAGATTTCCGCCGAAAAAATAATTCTGCAACTTATTAAGCCCTTCCGGTTTTGAATTTCAATAAGTTGCAGAATTATTTTTTCGGTGGAAATCTTTTGGCTATTGCTTTTAGCACTGATTGAAAACCATATTTGCCATAACCATGTACAGTCGACTTATTTTTTCTTAAAAAACATCCCAGAATTGCACAAAAATGGCATTGCGCACACTCTTGACTTTATCCATGTACACTGCTATTTTTCATAAATTACAAAAATTTGCACGAAAATGCAGGAAAATTTTGTGAATCTCCACATGCTCTTTTTACAAAACTACGTATAACACGTAGGGTTGCCGTAAGTAGGGTCTAAAGCCGTAAGTAGGGTTCAACTTATTCAAATTCGAAACCGGAAGGGTTTAATTGCTATTTTATATTTTAAAACAAAATAATATAAAAAACTGTATTAAAAATTATCTGTAATTAATAAATGTACATTTTCTTTCTATTCATACTTTTTTACTCAAAGTTACAAATAGCACCAATCTGGTTGCGATAATACGTAAGTACCAAGTACGTTTTCTTTTGTTATACTGCTATTGCTTCCTGATTTTCTGTAAGTGAAAACAGGTTGCTGTATATTGTATCTAATACTTCTCATATATAATCCAAAAATAAATCAAATTGTTTAAATCATGAAATTTAATCCAAAAACATAAAATTTAAAAAAATGTAAAATATTAAACAGTATAACAAATTAAGCAGTTTAAAATTTACTTTGAATGCAATGGATGACACTTGATCACCAATATGGTGAGAAACAGGATCATCATCATCAAATCCCTCCCACATCCTGACATCCCCATCAGTGCCATGGGTGAAAAGATATCTAAAAAATAAATACAAATTAAAAGAAATCGTTCTAATTTCAAATTCATGTGCATTTAATATTAGTCCACCGACTAAAAATTATTACTTATATGTAAAAAAATATGCAACAAAAGTGACAAAGCCACTTAATTGAGTACTTACTGGCCGCTGTCATCGTAGCAAACATCAGTGTGACCTTCATTATGAGCGTATCTCAATGAAGAATCTTCCATTATAAAAATAAAGACGATAAAAATGGGAAATTCTATTCTTACGATATACGTACCACAAAGTTGAATAAAGAAGTATTAAAGAGCTTAATATAATTTCGCGGGTAAAAATTCAGGAAGGTACAGTTACAGGTAATAGGAGAGAAAAACGAATAATAAATACGAAAACGAACGAGGAGTCATAAATATTTTAAACCAATTTTCAATGCAAAATTATACAGAAATATAAAACAGGAATTATGCTATTATCTGTAGAAATTATAACATTTATAGTCTAAATATAGATTAAGAAAAGCTATTAACAGAAACATTCCTTCATTAGCTGTGTTATTTTCCTCAAGTTTTATAATATAAGAAATCCGTAATTATCAGTTATTTTCATGTTTTTCTTTTATACCTATTTTAGGAATATGAATATCATTTGAAGTTCCTCAAAAATATTCATATTAAATTGCATTATGGCAACAGTAACGCTTGCAACCTTTGATTGTGTGTCTACTTGTTTTGAAAAGGAATCGAAAATAGTTCCAGATGATATATTACTTTTCATTTATATAAGTATGTCACAAATTACCGTTGGCATTGGTAGATAAAATGCCGTTGTTTTATGTTCTTAATTTTGACAGAACTTGACATCTTTCTGTAAAATGAAACTGTTTTATTCATGAAATTCGATTTTAAAATAATTGAACGTACTTTCAGTTTATATGTTGTTTTAACTAGTATATTTCTTTTGCAAAACTATATTGAACACAAAATTTATTCAAGCACAAAATTAATGTCCTTAAATATTTTTTCATAATTTCATTTCTTTTTAAAAATGTAAGTGAGGCCAGTCATTGAAAAGATAAATGCGAATATTCATAATCACATTTTTGAAACACCACACTTGGCTTAAGTGCAGAATCGTCCACTTATTTGTTTGGCACTTTTTGCAAGAGGAATAAGAATTGGGTTTTAGTCAATTTTCTTTGAATTTTTAAGTGAAAATAGGTCGATGGTCGAATAAAGTCAAGGAAGTGCACAATGCCATTTTTGTGCAATTCTGGGATGTTTGAGTGAAAATAGGTCGATGCGTACATGGATACCGAGTATGTGCAATTCTTAAAAACGCGCCAAGCAGTGGGCGATTCTGCGCTTTCCCCTAAAGACAATTAATAACATTTTGTAATGTATATTCACTTCTTAAAAATCATATAATAATATTAACATGTTCCATTCGTTGTGAAAAATGTTTGTCTTAATTTTTTTTTTAATATCCTCTCTAGCATTTTATTGTGCTATATATCAAGTCATTGAAGAGATATATGCGAATATTCATAATCACACCTCTAAAACATAACACATCTTCTGGAAAGACAATAATATTTTGTAATACGTATTCACTTATTGAAAATAATATCATATTAACATATTCCATTCGTTGTGAAAAATTTATCTCTTTATTTATTATTTTTTTTTAAATTTTCTCTAGCATGTTATAATTTGCTATATATGTGTGATTAGAACAGGATTTATTCATCTGATAATTTAGGTGTATATTTTGCATACCACTTATTTCTATTTATTTAATTTCCTCTTTAGTATCTTACCATGTGCTGCATATGTGTAACTGCAGCAGGATTTATTCTACTGATCACTTAGGTGCATATTTTGTAAACTACTTCCATAAACATTCTACAAAGAATTGCTAGGTAATGCACAATCTTATTTATACACGTCTTTCTTTTTCTGAATTTTTACATTTATTATTATAAACTTATTTGTAAAACAAATACTTATCTATTCAAACTGATAATTCATTTTTAATTTTATGACATTTTATACCATTGCTAATAATTACAAGTTGCCATATGTTAATGACCTAAATTGCTTTCAGCAGATAGTTGATATAGTTATATAGTCCAAGTAAAGTTTATTAGCTTTTGTTTTGTAATGCAATTAATGTTATGAAAATTTATGCATCAAATAATGAGATTATTAAATGATCTATGTAATCTGGTGGATCGTTTGTTTTTTATAATTGCCATAGGATTCAATTTTCTGGAAAAATATTTTTTGTTATAATCCTTCATATTAAGATTTGTGAACCTAAATGTTAAAAGATTTTCTGAACTTTTACATATCTGCTTAATATTCAGGTCCTTGTTTATCTAGTCTTGGAATTTGCGAATTTACTTATGACTTATCCAAAATAAAAGTAAAGTTTTTGCTGTTTAATGCATTTGTATAATAACATTGGCAATTACGTATTATCCCATAGACTGTAAAAGATGGCATAGATTCCATGAAAGTTGCATCAGTCATTCGTTTGTTAACAACATTTAGGAAATACCATTCATAAAATACCGTTGTTTAATTGCCGTTTTTGAAGGAAATAACGTTTCTTTATTTAGTTAGAGTAGACTGAAAGGTCTACCCCTTGTATTTATCAAAGTTGTTGCTTCATTTATGGGAACCTGAGTAGTTGAATGTTTCGTAAATATACTTTTACCTAGAATTGGGTGCAGTGGCGTAGTTAGGGTGGGGGTTAAGGGGAGACATCTGTCCCCGAGTGCAACATCCAGGGAGCACCAAATTGATGTTGTGAAACTTTAAAATGAAATGTTTTCCATTCCTGGAACACACAGAAGAGCGCAAAATCTTTTGTTGTTCCCGGGCACTGAAAACCCTAGGTACGCCTCTGATTGGGTGCTCCTTTGAAGTGAAAATATATCGATGTGTACACAGATAAAGTCAAGGGAGTGTGCAAATCTCTGATATTTTTTTAAGTGAAAATAGGTCGACGTGTGCATGGATACTGAGTTTGTGCAATTCTTGTTATTTTGGCTTTGTGTAGCGGCAATTTTTGGCGAAAAATTCGTGAATTTTCGCCAAGGGGTACCCTTAAATATACTTTTACTCACATTTTTGGTTGATCTTTACAGTATGGTAACTGGTAGTTTGGCGACATTTTGGAGGCGATAAAGGTTACTACCTGGGACTTTGGTAATAATGCGAGCAGTACTCAGTTCCGATTACGCATTATTTTGTGTGAGGGAAATGAGAGATCATGGGATATGTCATGTGATATTAATGGACGAATTACGGTTCTTTAATCGGAAAAGGGGGGAAATCGGGAAAAAATCTGGAAATTTTGTATTTGGCTTTATTCTGTGTTGTGTGAAACAGTGTTCGTGAATTTTTTGATCCCATGGCCGTAACTAAAGTGAATTCGAAATGGGTATTTATGTATGTATTAATTTAATGTATGTGCTCATTTATATTTTAAGTAGTGTTTTTGAATTTAATTATATTTTAATTAAATGATAGTTTATTTTGTGAATTTTATGTTTGTAGGAGTTGGTATACGTTTTAGTTGAAGTAAACGTGCATGGAAATAATTTAAATATCTGACACTAAGTATTTGTAATGGTTTGCGGTATGAATTCGTTGGTGACGTGTATATATGTAATAGATGATTTAGAGGTAAAAGTTTTTGGATATTTTATTTATTTTATATGTGGAAATGTTCATATTTGGAAAGGGGTAAATACTTTTTCGCGATCAGGTAATTTCATATATGTTCTTTTTTACCGGGTTGAAAGATTGAGAAAATTGTCATGTATTTTCGTGTGAAATTTTTCTAATTTATGAGAAAAAAGCAGTGTACATGGATATAGTGAAGAGTGTGCGCAATGCCATTTTTGTGCAATTCTGGGATGTTTTTTTTAAGTAAAAATAAGTCGACGTGTACATGGTTTAGTGATATTTTAATTAAATGATAGTTATTTTGTGAATTTTATGTTTGTAGGAATTTGGTACACGTTTAAGTTGAAGTAAACGTGCATGGAAATAATTTAAATATTTGATACTAAGTATTTGTAATGCTTGCGGTATGAATTCGTTGGTGACGTGTGTAATGTAATAGATGATTTAGAGGTAAAAGTTTTTGGATATTTTATTTATTTTATATGTGGAAATGTTCATATTTGGAAAGGGTAAATACTTTTTCGCGATCAGGTAATTTGATATATGTTCTTTTTACCGGGTTTAAAGATTGAGAAAATTGTCATGTATTTTCGTGAAATTTTTCTAATTTATGAGAAAAAAGCAGTGTACATGGATACAGTGAAGAGTGTGCGCAATGCCATTTTTGTGCAATTCTGGGATGTTTTTTTAAGTAAAAATAAGTCGGCGTGTACATGGTTTATGTGTATGTGTTATTTTGAAAAACACGTAAGGAGTATGGTATTGTGCACTTTTTCCCAATTTTGCAGTTTTGTCATGATTAAGCAGTTTTGTTAGATAAAATTTCTAGCATAAGTGTAATTCGGCTAGTAGATTGTTGGAAGAAGTGTTCAGTAGATAAAAAGAAAAGAAACATGTCTTTACTTCGTGAAGACAAAATGGCGGCGGAAAAAAAAAAATAGAGGGTTGCTGTAGGAGAGTTGGTCGCCAAAAAAACGCCAAGTTACCCTAATGTAAAGATCAACCACATTTTTCTTAAAGACATAGCATTTTCCTCACTTCTCAGTAAATCAATCGGCTAATCTTTATAATATGGTAACGGGTAGTTTGGCGACATTTTGGTAAGGCGATAAAGGTTACTAGCTAGGACTTTAGCAATAATCTGAGAAATACACAGTTCAAATCACAGAGTATTTTGTCTTAGAGAAAGGAGAGATCATGAGACATGTAATATGACATTTTCCGGAAAATTCCAATGGGGATTTTAGCTAATAAGCACTTAGAAACAATTTCGCTGCTAAAGTGCAGAATCGCCCACTTATTTGTTTGGCGCTTTTTACAAGAGTAAAAGGAATTGGATTTTTGTCAATTTTCTTTGACATTTTAAGTGAAAATAGGTTGATGTGTACATGTAAAGTCAAGAATGTACGCAATGCCATTTTTGTCCAATTCTGGGATTTTTTTTTAAGTGAAAATAGGTTGACGTGTACATGGACACTGTGTATATGCAATTCTTAAAAACGCGGCAAGCAGTGGGCGATTCTACACTTTCTCCCAATTTTGTACCTAATCTTCGTCTTGATTAAGCACTTTTGTTCCATAAAAGTTCTAGCATAAGTGTAATTCGGCTAGTAGATTGGTGTGGAAAAAATGTTGAGTAAAAAAAAAAAAAATGCCTTTACTTTGTGAAAACAAAATGGCGTCCAAAAAAAAAAAAAAAAAAAACCAGCAGGTTGTTCGCCAAAGTTTCGGCAAAAAATCGCCAAGTTATCATAATCTTAAGATTCACCAATCAAGCATTAGCGTAAAAAAAAAAAAAAAAAAAAAAGAAAGCACATTGCCACATGCAATATTCAGAGCTCTTCTCATGACTACGGAATTATGAGTGATCTTAAATTGCTATCATTTATGCAAAAAAATTAAAATAGGATAACGTGTCCTTGGAGTTCTTTTCTTCAGAAGCAACGATTGTTGTTAGAATCACGAATGATTTGAAGATAGTAAGTAGTAAATTAGTAATTTTTAGTTAGTAATTTTTTGACAATCTGGGTGCCGTTTACAAAACAGGGCCATAATAATAAACAATAGTTTGGCAATTTTTTTATGGTCCCAATAACAAAATTTTATCTTATAATGTTATGTATTTGTTATGCTTGTCAAAAGCAGTTAAAAAATTCATTTGATAAATTTAATAATTTATAAATTTGAAACTGTATATAATCTTTTTTATCACAGTGAAAATTACTTATTTATAGTTCGTAAGCTGAAACAGTTATCTATAAATTTTGCCATTATACACCAAAAGTAGTTCTTTTTGCACCTTCTTATTATTCTTTTAATAGCATTTAATTTTTAATATGTTTCATTGTATGTAAACTCAGAATTCTTTCATTCAAAAAAAGAGAAAAGGATTTTAAAAATAACATCCTGTTTCAAAATCTATAATTTGCTCCACAAGTAACTTAAGTTTACATATTTCTAGGTTTTATCAGTCATGGCTTGCACATGTATTTTCTTTTAAAAAGGAAATATTAGAAAGAAGAATTGCATCATTTATAGATTCATAAACAGTATAAAAATTTTGAAGTACTAAAAGCTTAAATTTGTTGCTTAGGCTTCCATCTGATATTTGACTGGTTGAATATCAAAGCACTATAGAAAACCAGAAATTATTGAAATGTGAACACATCCTTTGTTTTAATGTACAATTGCTTTTTGGCAGCTGAAAGTTTAAATAATTACTAATATCTCTACTTCACTATTAAAGTCGGTACTGCATATGCTTTGGTGACATTAACATTAGTTTGGCAAATACACTACCTGACATTGAAAATGCAACACCAAGAAGGAGAGGTTAGAAAGTGATGAAACTCGGCAAACAGAGAGAGAGACAGCAATGAACAAAAGTGATCTTTATTTCAAAATGATATGCATAATACAGAGTGAGAACAGCATTGGCTCGGTAGGTTCTTTTGCATGAATGATGGCATTCACTCAGATTTGCCTCTAGGATAGGGAAATTTCACATAATTATTAGAAAATTCTCAATCAGTCTCTGATATTAAGAAATTTGATTAAATCATTTGAATTTGGTTCGATTCAAATAAATTTTTTGGTTAATCTTTGGATTATGATAACTTGGCGATTTTTGGCGAAAATTTGGCAACCAACCCTGCTCAGCAACCTTCTACTTTTTTTTCGCCGCCATTTTGTCTTCATAAAGTAAAGACAGGTTTCTTTTTTT